GTGATTAGTAGCTGTCACTATAGTAAATAACGACTCGCTCATCTTAAAAAATTACAGTTTCAAACAGTAAAAATTGCCGTTTTTATATATAGTCGATACTATGAGGAGAAGGGAAAGGTCTCACACTCGGAGAATTTAACATTTGAAACAGTAAAAATTCTACTCTTAAAATATATATTTTACCAGTCCAAGCAAATCAATAATTATAGTTTGATTTTTAGCGTTGCGTTTAAAATTTACCATTTTACTTTGTAATTATTGACGTTGCTTGTATAGAAATTTAGTAACTGTAGTTTATATTTTTACATATCAAAAGATAATTTTTTAGCTACGAAATGATAAATATCAAAGTCAAAATTCGTAATTATTATACTTTAACATTTTCGACTTTCTCATAGCGAATATTACTGTTTGAAATAGTATTTTCTTCCATGTAAATAATAAATTGTAGCATTTAAATAATAAATATTATAAAGTGATTGTTAAAATCACGATTTTTCCGTTTGAAATGTTAATTTTTTCCAGTTGATCATTAGATCATTACTTATTATAAATCGACTATTATTTATTACAGTTTACTTTTTTCCGCACTGACAGAAGGATTTATTTGTATTAAAAAATATTTCTTAATAGTTAACAAATCATTTATTAGAGACCACTTTTTAGTATTAAACAAATATTTTTTTAGTATTTAAAATGATTTTTTTGTATTGAATAAATCTGATATTAATTTATTAAATATCAATAAATCTTTTCTAATTAAAATTTTCATGAGAATTTCAATGAAATTGATAATTAATTATTTCTTCATGGGAATTTTTCTTTATTAAAAAAAATGACTGACAGAAATAAATGTATTTTTAATATAAATTTTCACGGGAAATGTTCCAAACTATCGTGTTTATTTTTCTTTGTTTGAAGTGTCGGAACAAAAACGATGGGAAAAAATTAATTATATTATTGAAGACTAGTGGGAGCATACAAGTGAATTGTCAGTGTGATATGAGAATTACTTTAGTATCTCTCCGAGCTAGTAAAGTGGAAATAGAACAGTAGAGCAGAGCAGAGTTCAGATGAGAAAGCAATCGGTTTCACCCCATGGCATTTTTCCATCAGCCATAGGGTGGCTCTTTTCTACCCTGCCGAGCCTCATTCGTAGGATTCCTGCGGTAATGCATGTGCTACGTACTAGTTTGATTAAGTACAGGTTCAAAGACTAAATTAAAACTTAGTGACAAAGCACAACTTGACAAAACACGTCTCTTATGAGAACAAAAATTTATAATAAATATTGTATAATATATATATTATATATAAACATACTCGATGGTAATAAATATAAAATAAAAAGACAAATATCAGAGACGCGTGAAACGTGATTTTTCAGAGCTTTCACAGTTATTTGAAAGATGTTTGCTGTGCTTAAAGAATATTGTGGTCATCTTTAGAAATAAAAACATTTTGTCTGTTTGCTAAACTATCAAAGCTTAATACTCTTTGTCAAACTCTTAACAATGGTTTTTAGAAAAATATTTTTTTTATGATTTCAAGATTTTTTCTTTTAATTTTAAATTGAAAAAAAATTTTTGCTGTAAATTTTGATTTAATTAAAAAAATATTTTATATTTTAATTTTTATTGAATTTAGAATTTATTAAAATGTCCAATTTTTTTAATAAAATTGAACTAGAAATTTTCTTTATAAATTTAAAAAATTGTGGTAATTATTTAAAGATTTATTTATTTATTTAATTAATTATTTATTTATTTAATTATTTAAAGATTAAAAAAATTGTGGTAATTATTTACAATGTTAAATTGTTTTTTTTTTTTTTTTAATTAAATTGATCAATATTTTTTTTAATTGTTTGTTTTTTTATATATTTTTCAAAAATAAATATATTAAAAATATAAAATAGAAATTTTATCCAAAAACATGAAAGCCAATTTTTTTTCTAACTTTTAAAGACAGAAAAAACTATCAAAATCTTTATTTTTTCCTTCTATGAAATTTTTTATTATAAATCCGCCGTATAAAGAAGTATAATCAATCAAAAAATTAAAAAATGTTAATTTTTCGCCTAGATATGGCCAAAAATAAAGTGGACCCATTTGTAAAAAATTACCAAAATTGTAAAGCTAAAATTTTGTTAAAAATATAATTTTTTTATAAAAATATTCCGAGTTAAGTCAATTTATAATTTTATTTTTTAATATCAAAATTTAAAAAATAAAAATTTTTTATCAATAAAATTTTTTAAATAAAAAAAATTATATACAACAAAATAACAGATAACATTTATCATAATTTCCGGGTGAATAAACAGAGAACATCCGCAAACTTTAACATCAGACTACTCATGGGGTGAAAACGAGTCGTTATTTGGGGTCGCAGAGCGACATACTGAAATTCTATTCAAAACAATTAAATGATTCTCATGGCTTTATCCGCTGCAATTCAATACCAATAATAATAATAAAAATTTTGAAACCAGCCAATAAAATCCCTTAAAAAAAAAGTATTGAATAAATTAGATAAAATAAAAAATGATAGTAGCTTTAAGTTGAAAAAAAACTACATACATCATGGACAAAGCGATATTTCAATCGACAGTGAATTGACGCCAGGAGTCTCGGGAGTTTTAGGTTGAGCTACTCGAGGCTAAAATTCCATTTCGCCGGCGAATAGCAAAGCGAAGATGACAAAGTGGAGGAAAATTGAGAAATTGCTTCTTGTAGTGCCATCGTTGAGGTCCTTTTCCTCTTTACTCTACGCTTTATCGTCGGGTTGAGAAGACCCGAGATCTAAGACCTGAGACTAGTGTATAGTAGTTCTAGCCCGCACTGCGACACATCGAGACTCAAACTCTTACTCTCGCGGGACACCAAGAGTGAACCCTCAGCTTCCATCTCCACCCGACCGGGAGCGGAAGAAAGAGTATAAGTAGATTCCCGAGTCTTTGTAAAATCCTGCAACGCCTGACGATCGTAAATAGGACGAATATCCGTGGGAAAATTTTTTATATTTAATATAAGATATATATTTTAGATTTTTATTTTATATGAGGGTCAATTCAATTTTTGAATTTTTTGTTACGTAATATTTCTTCTTTTTAAATTGAAAAATCAATTATTAATTTTTTATGTTAGATTAGAGAATAATTTATCAAATTTTTGTTCAGAAAAAATTTTAAATGTAAAATTAAATTTTATTGGATGAAAAATTAAAATTTTTACTAAACAAAAAATTGAAATTTTATCTTTTTTAATTTAAAACTATTATTTTATTTTTATTTAAAATTTTTAATATTTTATTTTAATTTAAAATTATTAATGATTTATTTTAATTTAAAAGTATTAATAATTTATTTTAATTTAAAATTATTAATATTTTAAATTAAAAAATACAAAACATAATAGTAAAGTTTTTTTTTTTGTTCCATTAATTTAACCAGCGACATATTTCTTTATTGAACCGCCACAATGCCACTACTGAGATTACTCGAGCTCGAAATCCCTCTATTGTAGTTTCTACAATCAAGTAAAATGTTATGGAGTTATATCGATCGAAAGAAGAACCAAGAGCCAACAGCACAATAGCCACAACCAATTTTTTTGTAATCTCTTTATAAGAAGTTGAAAAAATTACTGAAGAAAGAAAGGATAAAGTACATTTTAAAAATATTTGTAATTATAATATTAAAAAAAAAATTAACACAGAATATTTATTTATGAGATACATTTTATTTATTGTATTTACAGAGACAATGGTTGTAATAAAAAATAAATTATAAATAATAAATACGACGAAATATTTATCGTACATTTATACACTTATTTTGTAAATAAAAGTTAAGATTTTTGTACATTGTAAATGAAATATTAAAAATACAATCTTAAAACTAAGCATTTAAATTTTACAATAAAATCGCAAATTATGTGAAAAAAATATAGCTTTTAAAAATACATAAGCTCGCAATTATATATTAATCTTAGGGTTGATAAAAATCACGCTAAATATATTAATGCCACGTTAAATTATTCTTAAGCTGCATTAATTAATTTTGCGCGTTACAGCCAAATTTTTATCTTACACTTTAAACATTGCAATATCCCACAATGGAATTTTCACTAGTTACTTTCAATAGTTTAAATACTTTCTTTAATTGCTTAATACTAGAAATTTTTTGGACTGCTAAGTGATTTCTGAAATTTTTACTGACAATACCGACGTTGAGATGTTTTATAATTAAATTACAACTATAATTACTTGATAACTTAACCTACGGTCTTTGGACTAGACAATACTCGTTCATTCTAATTCAATAGAATGAAAAAAAATGGTAAATAAAAAAAGAAAGTAAATAATAATCACACTTAAAATCATACTGCCGATGATTTTTACACTTACATTATTTTCTATCAACAATGAGTACATATTGAAATTTTTTTAACATTTATTGCTATTGATCTACTGAAGAATAATTAATCTATTCTTTTTCCTTAATTATCTTTGATGCGTTAGCTGTATGACCAGACAATTGTGACAGTTTAACTACTCTAATTATTTCTATACTTATTTAATTAATTCTACTTATTTTTAAATAAATATCTTCCATTCAACAACCATTTAAATTCGTAGTTACCCAATAATTTTTTATCGATAAAAATAATTAAAAAAAAATTAACAATACAGTTCAAATATTTAAACTGACTAGACGGAATGACCAGAATTAAAAATTGTTACTGACTAGGTATCTGTTTGGCATCCGATTCTTTACACGATTAAATAGTAACTTTAGTATACTCTTATCCAAGAAAATACTTTTATTCATTAAATTATTTTTGTAGTGACTAGTTTTAAAGTTATAAGACTAGACTAAATTTTTTTTAATTTTAATAAGCCATTTTAAAAAAATTATCAATTTGCAGAATGATCAATTTTTTAATGAATTATTTTTTTTTTTTAATCAATTAATATTAATACAAAAATTAATTTATTTATATTGACTCTTTCTCCAATTTTAAAACACAGTAACTGACAATTTTAAGATTTTTCTTATTAAAAAAAAGTTTGCGCGCCAAATTAATAAAAAATTTAATTTATGAATAGAAAATACTTGAATATAAATATATTTAAGAAAAAATACTTGAAATTAAGGACTAAAAGTTATAAGAAATGCAAGAATATTAAAAAAAAAAAACCAGTAAAAATATAAATTTTTTTTAATTTTAATAAGCCATTTTAAAAAAATTATCAATTTGCAGAATGATCAATTTTTTAATGAATTATTTTTTTTTTTTAATCAATTAATATTAATACAAAAATTAATTTATTTATATTGACTCTTTCTCCAATTTTAAAACACAGTAACTGACAATTTTAAGATTTTTCTTATTAAAAAAAAGTTTGCGCGCCAAATTAATAAAAAATTTAATTTATGAATAGAAAATACTTGAATATAAATATATTTAAGAAAAAATACTTGAAATTAAGGACTAAAAGTTATAAGAAATGCAAGAATATTAAAAAAAAAAACAGTAAAAAATTTTGCGTCATTGCTTCAAAAAATTAAGTGTTAAAAATTTTTGTGTTAAATATTTAACACTTTTATGTGTAAATTTAACATTTACTCTGTTAAATCAACACAAAAAATTGTTTAAAAATTTTTAACACTAAATTTTTTGACGCAAAATTTTTTACTGTGCAGGTATAAAAATTTTGCAGTTACTGTGTTTCAAAATTGAGCATCCGTAAATTTCAAACAATAATTTAAAAATCAATTATCAAATGGCTTAGACATAAAAAAAAAGCAGATAATATTTTGATTGTACACTCACGTAAATCGAAAGCCAAAAAATCGACGAAGCTAAAAATTCACATGAGATCGAGTCCGAATCTCCAGTAGAGACTAGGTCGCCTGGGTAGAGGTCTCGCCGGGAACTGTTGGTGTCATGGCATCTCGTTGGAAAGAGGCCCGCTGGCAAGCTGCATCACCGCGAGTGATTTCGACGCCAACGCGGTTCCAGTTTCCATACAAACATTTTCATTACTACTACTACTACTACTATTACTATTACTATTACTACTGCTAACAATATTATTAACATTACCATTATTATTACCATGATTTCCATTATCAATACTACAATTACTATTCCTATTAACAATCAAAAAATTATTATTATCAGGATGCTGAGCAGCGAGATGTTTCCTCAAAGCGGTCTGCCTTGTGAATTTAGCGTCGCACTTGTTGCAGCCGATTTCCTGGACCGCGGAATTTCCAGCCGCAGAAACAGCAGACCCATGGTCACCAACAGGTGCGCGAGGTTTGTGCCAGCGGCGATGTGACGCGAGATTAGCAGGACAGGAGAATCTTTTGTCGCACTCGGGACACCTATACTCAACATGGGCGATTCTGGAGCACCTGTGCTGAGCCAGCTGGAATGCGTCTTCATGCAAGTGTCGGCACAATTTGCATTGATACGGCCCCAGCCTGTTCTCGATCTTCGCCAATTCTGCCCTGGCTTCTTCAGTAACTTCAACAACATTGAACGCAGGATCAATATCTCCAGTAACAACTGCCTCATCAGGTCCAAGGATAACTGTCCCAGAAACTGGACTGCTGGTGTCTTCGTCAAACTTCAATCTTCTAGCGTGTTTCTTCTTAGGCCTTGAAATTTTCTCCGAAGTTGAAGACGTTGATGTTGATGATTTGGGAGTAGTAACCGACCCAGAAGGGTCTTCTTCTTCCCTGGGCCGCCTCCTGGGACACTGGGGTGGTGAGGGAGTGCTCGGAGGAGTCATTGGAGCATGAAGATGATGCTGCGGAGTCAGAAGTAGCTGCTGCTGGTAAGTTTGCATGGACCTCAAGGTGTTTGGGGAGGTCAGAAGCAATTTCTGGCTCGGACTGGGACTCGAGCTAGGACTCTGGTAAATTTCACTGCACACCGGGTCCTGGCTCCTAGGTCGAGCTCGCAATTCATCATAAAAATGATAAGCCCGTTGTTGTTGTTGTTGTTGTTGTTGTGGATCATCAACTGCGAACCGTTCCCAGTCGTGGAACCGCTTTTCGCGCAACTGCTCGTAGCTGTCCTCTGAAGAAGGATAAGGACGGTCCTCAACATCGTCGACTTCAATGGTCTCACTGTCGTCAGTTTGAGTCGCTGGAGTTTGGGGCGCTGGAGGTTTAAGTGACAAGTCCAGAGGACTGGGACTTGCTGGTAAACTCGGTCTTGCAATGGGATTCTCCACTGCCAGGTGCTCTGACAGGTAGCTGTTCTCCAGGGAAGCGAATCGCGACACTGGACTGTAAGGGTGGACTGTCTCGCCGTAGTAACCCCCGAGGTAACACAGTCCCGGTGGGGCCAGGAATGAACGGGGTAATGCGCTGTGTAACATTGCGAATTATCACTGATTTTTTTAATTAACTTTTAGGTGTTTAGGTTTATTTATTGTTCTTTTTTAATTATGGTTGGGTTTAGCACAAACTTACATCACAAGATTGTAACCGCGTCCGCGAATTGACAAGGACGCGGCTCACGGGTGGTTTAAAGAGTATTTGTTTATTTACTTTTAGACAGCACAAGCCAGGGTCTTCCTCTCGGCGGTGGCCAAACGCCGTCTGTCGAAAGGACGCTTTGAACAGGCTACGTATAGTCCGAAGCTCCGCCTACGATCTTTTTAGTCACCAGGTTTTCATTGGTCGTACCACCTCTTTGTAGAGCGCGCCGACGCGTGCATTTCATCATACACCAAACGGTTTTATCACAATCACAATATCAATGTATTAATACAATAGATAGATGGTGGTATAGATGGATTTATTTATATGGATGTGAACTATTGCGTTGCTCCATCACATGGCCTTCAATAGAAACAGGGGTAGTTTACCCTGCTACTGCAGCTTCTACATCTGCAGATGAAATATTTTCAGAACTAAATTGTTATATTATGGCGTGTGATGATATTTAGAGCCTGGAAAAATTTTATAATTGATTTTTTTAAGGGAATTTTTAATTATTCTAGTTTCAAGACAATTGTTGATCTGTTATTTAATATTATTGTAGCTTTGCTATTAAATTATGATTTTTATTTTTATAGTTTAATTGGAGGATATTTGCAGAAATAATTTTAATTATAAGGTAGATTATTATTGCTATAAATATAAAATCAATTTATGGTCACGACTTCTATAGATAAAAATTATTTTCCAGAACAAAATACTAGTTGAAGTATTGATTTTACTAAACGGTGGCTTTGGTTTAAGTGAGGTAAATTAATGGTAATTAAAAATTAAATTCTAAAGTTTAAATTTAAAAAAGAAACAAATTCTTTAATAAATTTTCTGCTTAATATTTTTTTTAAATATTTACATCAAAAAAATTTATGAAAAATGGGTTAATAGTGCACTTATATTCAATTTAGTTATAAAAATTTAATTGTAATATAAATGTAGATTTTATAAATTTTTATTTTCTTTCCCGACCTATGTATAGATAAATTTTTTTATCGTTATAGGTAAATAAATTTATTGTAAAAGCTTTGTATATTTTTAATGAAAAATAAAAAATTAATAAAAATAATTGCTTGTATAAAAAACAGTCACTTATTTTATTTGAGAGAAGCTTTGAATTTTATTTCATGAAACTATCATAAAAGTAAATTACCAACAATTGTTTTATAAAAAATAAAAATAAAGTTATCGTATAGAGAAACTCAACAACATATGTCGGAAAACACGTACCTCGAAGGGTGCAACAAAGTATTTTTTTTACTCACCTTGCAACTTAGTAGCAATATATAAAAATAGAACTTACTGTTTTATGTTTTTCGTTCAATATCACACATTGTATTCAATTATTTCAGCAACAACATAACATTTGCTACTCTACGAATAAACAACAAAGTAACACACGATTCAATATCACAACGAGTTTCATATCCTTGCGTTATCATATACGCCGCGATAATTTGCTGTATGTACAATTCTATCGTGCAGAGCACCCCGTAATTTGAATCCATAAATAACTTTTCTTCGAAAAATGAATCCAAGAGGGGGAAAAATATTTTTTATACGCTTATATTTATTTCGTTGTACTGACGATTGACTAGAAAATTTTTTATTGATTTGTAGCAACAAAATAAAAACAAACAAACAATTTAACTTGACGCGAGCGTCAAAAAAAATTTTTTTTATAGAAATAAATTCGGTAATTCTCACATTTAATCTTTTACCCTCAAGAGACCGCAAAAGTCCGACGTGGACTGGGACAATCAGGGTGTAATTGGGCAAGAGGCTCTCGAGGAGTTTTCTGATAATAATGAAAGACACTGGACGTTTGTCACTAATCATAATCACAATCATTAAATTTTTTTTTTTTAAATAAAAAAAAAATTTAATTAACTTGCAGAAATAATTCTAGCGGAATAAAATAAATACTAAAGGCATCAAACATTGTGTGTTTAGTTAAACAATAGTGAATAGCAGTGAATTATTAGTGAATTTAGCCCGCAGCGTTGCACTCTGCCAGGCATTAAATCAATCGCACTCACAACAATCGTTGCGTTTAAACAACGGATAAAAAATATAATCCTTTATAAAATGAAAAAAAAAATAAAAAATAAAAAAAATGATAGCAAGTAATGTACAGAGTATTTACATAAAATTCTTTAAAAGAGATTATTTGAGCTGGTGAATTATTGAAGAGAGTAAAATCTCTGCGTACTCTGCGATCCATTAGTCGGACGGTAATTCTCGTCCATAAGACTTAGACTTAAATAACAACAATAATGTTTTAAATAAAATAATAAATAGTTTATATTATTAAGAGAATAGCAAGATTTTGTGGCTAGTGTATTAATATGATAAAATGGGTTTTTATGATTAAATTTGGTATCGTTGGAAAAGTTTTGGAGTTGTGCCTTTTCATGGTTTCATATCATTTTCACCGATAGTCAATTTATGATGATAAGTATTTAGGCTGCATTCGAAAATGCTCTATAGATACATAATTAAGGAATGACCTTGTATCTCGTGAACTATTGACATTTTTAAAGATATAAGCTCATCCCGATGTTACACTCATCAAGACCTTTCATTTAAGTACCCACATCAATTTTTCATATATTTATATATTTTATATATATGTATATATGAAAAATATATCAAATATGCATGTGGGTACTCAAATGAAAGCTCTTAATGAGTGTAACATAAGGATGAGCTTATATCTCAAAAAATGTCAATAATTAAGAAAGTACAGTGCAATTTAACATAATTTAGAAACTACCTTGTATCTTGTTAACTATTGATATTTTTAAAGATATAAGCTCACCCCGACATTACACTCATCAAGAACTTTCATTTAAGTACCCACATCAATTTTTCATATATTTATATATTTTATATATATGTATATATGAAAAATATATGAAAATGCATGTGGGTACTCAAATGAAAGCTCTTGATGAGTGTAATATCGAGATGAGCTTATATCTTCAAAAACATCAATAATTAAAAGAATACAGTGCAATTTAACAAAAGTCATTATATAATAAAGCAAAATTTTATTTATAGCTCGCAAGTCACGGCAGTCACATAATGATTGCAAAGTTGCTGTTATAATATAAAATGATAATACATGTAATGTAATAAGTTTGATGTGAATAAAAGGTCGATAAAAAACATAAAAATTACAGTTACAAGGACAGCTTAAATAGTAGATACAACGGAACAATTTTTTATGATTGAAGCAGCTGGCTGAGTAAAGCGGGAGGATAAAGCAGGTATAGAAGTTGGTGAGAGCTTTCAAACTTTTTACGGTGTATAAGCTTCTCGGAAAATTCATGCGAAATATGAAGGTAGAAGTTGAAGCAGAAGCGCAAGTAGAACCACCGGCAGACAGAGAATGCTCGAGGGTGGTGGTAGCTATGCATATTTTATAAGATTTTAATGTGTCTCCGGCCGATTTGGTATAACACAACGCTGGTGAACGAGGATGTGCAGGAGGATTTCTACGGCGACGTTTACGATACTCCATACTCCATGCTCCATACTCGTAAGCTAGACTAGACCCGCGAGACCGTCATGTCCTAATCCGCTTACAAAACTAAACTCCTAGTCCATTTCATGACTGGCTCTCAGCGCATCAAAGCTGCTATGCAGATCATTTAGATTCTCTCTATCGCCTCATACACCTCCTTTAGTTATTAAATATTCACCCAAATCTGCTGCTATGTTTCCAAAATTCAGGTTTAATTTTTTATTAAATCTGCAAGACAGAAAGTGACAATTTTCTTTGATAAACTATAAAAATTATTTTAGAGTTATTTTATAGTTACGAATTTTTTCAGGCAAAAAATTTATGGAGAGCAAATATCTTGGGGTATGTACGGCTGGTCTTGTGAATATATATTTGTCGATCGAATGGCGGGGAACACGAGCTTCAGCCTTAGGCCAGGATGTGCATTATTGGATAAAGTTACATTAAACACACACAGCACGGATATTATTGTCTCTCTCCCATTCCATACGTTGTACAACATATATATGTGCGTGATGTGTCTTCACTTCGCCTGGATATATATATATATATATATATATATATATACGTACCAGGAAATTCAGTTGCATTAATTATTCACCGTGTCTATCTGTATTATCATGAAATTCTCGTGAAAAACAACCCACCAAGTTTATATGTTTGAAAATACTTTTCATATTATTATTCGCGATACTAAAAAAATATATTTACATTATGATTATTATACATGTATAAATAATTGATAATTGACGTAATGCACGAGGTAATTATATGTACATATTTAAAATAGTTTTTTCTTGGAACTAGGATTTTCGAGCTTAGTCTTTTTTGCCAGCTTTGGCGTGTCGCCGGCAGCTGATTTGCGTTTCCGTCCCTGGAAAATTAAATTAATTAGATAGGTTTTTTATTCAATAAACTAGATCAATTTTTTTTTGTAAAAAAAAAAATTTTATTATATTATACCTTTTTGTCATCACTTTCGAGATTTTCTGCCTCTGTCTCAGCTACTTTTCCTTTGGAATCATCAACAGCAGGACTCAAATGCGTGAATAAAAAATGTTTAGAGTGATTTGAAGTCAAAGCGTTGTCTGATTGTTTAATAACTTGCGCTAGTTTTGCAAGAGCTTCATCTCCACGGGCTAAGAATGATCCTCGTTTCATCGCATTCTAGAAATAAAAAAAATGAATAATTCATGACTAGCAACCTTGCAGTCACTATGTGACTGCCATAAATTGTGAATTATAAATAAATAAAATTTTGCGATATTAAATAATGACTTAAAATTGCATTGTACTTTCTTAAATATTGACATTTTTTAAGATATAAGCTCATCCCGATGTTACACTCATCAAGAGCTTTCATTTGAGTACCCACATGCATTTTCATATATTTTTACATATATACAAATATATAATATATATAAATATATAAAATATATGAAAAATTGATGTGGGTACTCAAATGAAAGGTCTCGATGAATGTAGTGTCGGGGTGAGGTTATATCGTAAAAAATGTCAATAGTTCTCTAAATTTCACTAAAAAAACCAATTTAATCATAACGCTATTTTAGACACAAAATTTTTCTTATTCTCATAATAATATAGATAATTTTTATATAATAAATTATTTTTTACTTACATGTAAAAGTTTAGACTTTTCAGAAACAGGAGTTCCCATCAATTCCGTGACAGCTCGAGGAATAATAGGTTTATCAACAACACCCTCAACACTCTGCTGTTCAATAGAAATTTTCCTTTTTTTAACAACCTTCATACCCAGTTTAAAAAACTGCCCCCCTAACCCTAGCTCATTTTCCAGCGAATCATCCGTGGACTTCATTTTTTCCTCCAAAAACTTTTCTCTCTCCAACCTCATCTTCCGCCACTCAATCTCATTAGCCAACTCATTGGGATCCGCAGGATTATCATCATCTTCATCATTCTTCGGACCTTCCAAAAAGTCATCACCAATTTTGTCAATATTTTTCCACTTGAACCTCCTTTCTCTCCCGGAGCCATCAGTATGCAAATCACCGTCCTCAAAAAGTAACTCCTGAAGCATCCTAACGTCTCTCTGATCGTCATCCAGAAGCTGCCTGGCGTGTATTTTACCCAACTGATCCTTCATTAGATTCTCATCTATATCCTCAGCATCACCCTCTTCTATTTCAAATTTGTCTAAATCTTTTTCATCCTCATCCTCAGATCCCCACTCGCTCTCACTCAGCTCAGCCTCAGCTTCCAGGAAATTAGCCGCGACTTTTTTTATCTCTCGCTTTGGGACAACAACAACCTCATTTTCTTCCGAATCATAATCAATAAATTTTTCCTCGTCACTCTGATCAACTTGTTCTTCATCAGTAAAATTATCTTCATCCTCATCATCAGACAAGACTAATTTATTTATTTTCTTCTTCTTCTTCAACACCTTCTTCTTCCCTTTACCCCCTTCTACCTCATCAATATCTTCATTTTCCGACGAAGAAACTATTTTAAGCGGAACCCTCAAAATTTCCTCCTTTTTTTCCTCCTCCTCCTTCTCTTTTTCCTTCAAAATCTCCTCGACTTTTTTTTTAACCACCTCAACACCATTCTGCGAATTTTCATCAAACCGCAAACACATATCCTGTGAAGACTCGTCAACATTATTCACACTCTGCGACCCGTAATCCGGACTAGTGAATGTACCAGAGCACAAATTAATAATCTGTGAATCAGTTATTGGTTTTTCATTCGCTGAATGATCAATTAAACCACTCAATCGCGGATTACTGGCCTGGGTGTTATTCCCATCGGTGAATTTTCCCGAGCATAAATTCATCAATTCTTCATCAGTGACGGGCTTGCTCTGCACCTCGAATAATTTCCCGGGCGATTCAGTTATGCTCGGCGTGCACTCGATATCCCAGTTGTTCAGCTGACTCGGCAGCGATCGAACCGGAGACTCGGGAATTCCTTGAGTTGATTTGCTTCCTACAACACTGGACAAAGTTTCACGTAATTGAACTGTCTCCGGACTGGGACTAGATTGTCGTTGTCCTGCTGGGATTTTCAGATCATCAGAATCTTCAAAGATATCAACATCAGTCCTAGTCCGTTCAAAAACTTTTTTTGGTTTAGAATCTTCATCATCAGAATTAGAGTCTTCATCCAGCGCGACAATTCTGCTGAATCTTTTGCGACATTGAGTACTTTCCTCCTCCTTCTCTTCCTCCTCCTCATCATCATCCTCCTCTTCACCTTCATCTTCATCCTCATCATCACTAAGATGAATTTGTTCCTCCTCACTGACCTCAGCTTCATCATCACCAAAAGCGCAACTAATTCTTTTATCCTTCATCGGAACATCATCTTCCTCCAGCTCTTCTTCTTCCTCATCAATATCCATAATTTCTTCCTCTACTTCCTTCTCACCCTTATTCTTCTCTTCTCCCTCTTCCTCCTCCTCATCCTCCTCATCATCAGCCACCACATCCTGCTCCTTTCTTACCCACTCCTCATGTCTCTTATCCGCCATCTGCTTCTTCAAGTCTTCCTTAAGTCTCACCAGCTTAGCTCCCGGCTTGTTCAACTCAGGATCATTGGCATTACTCGCGACATTCTTATACGCCAAGACATCCTTAGTAACTTTCAACCCAGTGGCCGTGGCTTCAGTCTGCAGAACAGTGACTTCAGTATTGACATTACTCGGCTTACTTCCAGCGTGCTTGGACAGAAACCGGTCTAACAAATTATCAATCGCTTCTTTATTAGGCTTCATTTCTTTAGTAAAGTCTATCATCATTCCTGGAGCGCCGCGAATTTTAGGCTTCAGCTCTGGAAAATTCATCAGCGTTTTCTTTTTATCCACCACAGGAGCAGGGACATTTTTTTCAACTTCTTTTACTTCATCTAAAACATGCTCTGACCCGTTACAAAATAAATCAACTTCGTCAATTATTGATGTCTTGCTAATAGAACTCGAGCTTGAAATATTTTCCGTTGATTTAACGGCATTTAATCTGTCATTTATGTCCCCGTTCAAAGCTCCACATTTGTCAAGCTCTTTACTGTCACTTTTATCGGATTGCGAGTTTAAATCCTCCAATTCAAAATTACCATCGCATTTATTACCCTCTGTTTCTGTTTTATCATTTTCACTCGACAAAACAATAGTATCTTCCTCGCTTTCCGTGCTAGTGCTAATTATTTTCACAGCATCCAAAACAGGTGAGTCATTTAATTCAAGACTAGAAAATTCATTACTTTCTTTCGACAAAATTACACTTTCTTGACTATCAAGCTTTTCATCCAGAATACTTTCTAAATTATTTTCACAGCTAGACTCTTTAAGTAATTTATCCTCGCTACCAGAGCTTAAAGAAATTACACCATCGCTGATCGATTGTGATTTTACCCCCAAAGATTCACTGGAATCATCATTAAATAATTGTCTAGTAACATGTTTAACTGCATCTTGATCAATTCCATCCGATTTTTCTCCACCCAAATGGCTATCTGATACACCATCACCATTATCTTCAACATGGCCAGCATCTTCCCTCTCACCTCCAGAATCTTCATCAGATTCTGACTTATAAAACAGCTCAGCCTCTCGTTCCTTCTCTTCCAAGGCTCTGCTCACAATCTCCGCGGACATCTTCATCCTAGCAAAAGTCGAAGTCGCCTGAGGCAGCACCGGAGCTATTTTCTTTCTATTAAGAAACTCCTCAAGAGTTCGCTGACGTGGCCGATGGTAAGGCAAAGAAACAGGCGCCTCCCGAAGCAGCCTCTGAGTCTCGCTGTGAATTTGCCTCATAGCTTCATCTTTAGCAGACCTTTTAGACCCGGTTCTCTTCTTCTCCTTCTTAGTTTTCTTCCCTTTGCCAGTTTCTTCTTTTTCATCATCGCTGTCAGCTAGAATCCGAGGTCCAACTGACTTGCTGACAATTTCTTCTTCAGAATCTGAATCTACTAATTCATTCAATCGCTTGGATCTATTTTTAGCTATTAAATCTTCATCAGAGTCACTTTTATCATCATTAATTTGATTTTTTCTTGGAGAATCATCGCTTGAGTCACTGTTAATTCTCAAACGAGATTTAGACTTTGATTTTACTGGGCTTGCTTGAGTACTCGAACTAATTGTCACTGAATTTAATTTTTTAGGCTCATCATCCTCAGAATCAGTGTCAACTAAAATTCTCAGTCTTGTAGCAGCTTTTTTTTTAAGATATTCTTGAAAATTAACTTTATTTCTATCTTCTACATCACTGGAGTCGGAATCTACCTCAGAATTTTTGTCTTTATTTACAGGATCTATTTCACTGGCTTCACTTGTTGAATGCGCATTCTCAATCACACTTTCTTTATTTACTAAATTTAGCGTATTGATATTCTCTTCTGGTACATTATCAGATAAATCAGTATTTAAAATTGGGTCATGCATTTTTTCATCTAAAAAAAAAATTAAATAGTTTATTAAATAAATAATAAATAAATAAGTAATAGAGGTTTGATGTTGAATAATTATTACTGCTTACCTGAATTATCAGAATTTTCGTCCATATTTATTAAAACAGTACTTACAATTTTATTTTATTAATTAACAATGTTAGATTCTTTCATTAATTATTTTTTTTATTTTTTTTAGTGCACTTATAGACAATAACAAACCACAAACATTCATCACACAGTCAGCTGAGAAAACGCGCCAAAACTCACGAGTCTAACCTATACATTCTAAAGATTTTTCGGTAAGTGGTGACATCTTTGTCTAAAGTCTAGTTGGTAAGATAAATTTCTTCTTAAAGTGGCGCTCATAGCTGCCGTTGGAAAAATGTATTCACATATTTGAAATCATGAGAATACATCAACAATTAAATAAAATTAATGACATTAAAGTTAGCGATCACTTGACCATTTAAAAACATTTTTTTAGCAAATACATTTTTTCCAAAAAATTATTTCAAAAAAATTATGTTATTAAAGTTAGCCGACGTTCTAAATTTTTTGATTTTTTTTTTAATAATCAAATTAGAAAAAAAAAAATTTTTTTTAAATTGCAGTCACAGTTTTTGAAGTTTTTTAGACGTGCAATTTTTTTTTTTATTTATTTTTAATAAAAAAAAAATTCTAAAAATTTTTAATTGTCGGCTAATTTAATTTTCATATAAGATTGAATTAATCCAATAAAGAATGATGGAAAATTTTACATTTAACAATTGAATTAAAAATTCTCTCAACAAAATTATAGAAAAATTTGACAATTTTTCTATCTAGCAATTTTTATATTAATAATAAAAAATTATTTGAACTGTGAAAATAATTTCAAAAAAATATCCACAAATAATAATGATAATAATTAGATAAAAAAAAGTAATTAAAAACTTGCGGTTAGCTGCAAAATTTCCAGATCAGCATCAGGTTCCATGGCTCCAAGCTTCAGATCTCCAAAAAATACTCGACACCTAAATCATAATTATTAATTAATTATTATTTTTATTAAATATTAAATAAAATTAACTTAAAAAAATAAATAGTTAAAAAAAAAAAGAATTACTTTTTAAAAAATAAAAAACTTAAAATGTAATTTAATAATTCAGCTTGACATTTGTTGGCTTATAGTAATTTAAACTTTAAAAAATTTAGTAATTTATAGAAATTATTAATTCCCGGCACTTAAATAATTATTACATGCATAATTTATAATTAATTCACTTTTATAAACACATTTAAATCATTTAATTGAAACTGTGATAACGAGAGACACCGCGCAGGTGTTGTAAGGTCTGAAGTAAGCGACTGAACTAGGTAAAATGGCGGCGCGGTGACTGCGCAGAAAAACCGAGGGAAAAATAACGCCTCTGATTGGTTGATTCAAAAGCGCGCGAGTATTATATTCAACCGTCGTTTTTTAAAATGTTTTTATATAAAAGTATGAATTCTTTTATCATAAAAATTGTATTTCTTTACAAAAAAATCAGAATAATTAAATAATTAATATTTTAAATTAATAGAATTATTTTTAAAATAAAATAATAAAATTTTATGACGTATTTTTATAGATATTTTTTCTATATACTCCTCCACTGATAATAAAATGTTCTAATAATTTTTCAAGATAAAGTAATTACATTGGTAGTGTAATATATAGTGTTAACCGTCAATAAAGAATCAGTTTATAGATAAGTGTTACGGTAACAACAGTGTAACTATAAAATAATTTTTTTTTACTGGTGAAGACGCTTACGAGAGTAATTAACAAATTTTTTGGCTCTAGAGAATGAATATAGCATTATGGGCTGGTTTTATAACAAGCCTGCTATTAATATCAAGTAATATAAATTTTTTTTTATTATAAATTATAATATTAAATTATTAATATTCTATTAAAAAAAAAACAATATACATTAATTAAGTTATTAAAATATTTAACAATTAATTTAATGTCTAAAATAATTTCTAAAATCTATTTTATCACAATTAAAAACAAAATTTTTATTTAACAAAAAATAATTTATTGAATTTTTATATCACATGTTACTTTATATTTATATATTTTACTTTAATTAGAGCTTAAATATTTTTAACTTCCTCTATTTTATAATTAATTTCATTTTCCGATCATTAATAATACTTTTAGTATAAAAATGTCTTCTTTTTAATTACTAATGAAGAAAAATTGTATTAAAGTTAATTTTATAACAAATTATTTTTAATAATATATTTATTTCTACTATTTCTAACTTTATAACGAACAAAGAAAAAATAAATTGTTTCATAATTTTTATTTCGGAGATTTCCAAGTAATAAGTCATTAGTAAGAGATAAGGAAGTTATTTTAGTGTGGATAAAAAATTACTTCAGTTATTTAATGATTAAAAGACCTATTGACGCCCATTTCTAGGTAAAGGTGTCAATGTGTGACTAATACTTTGATAAATGATAAGTAATTATAATAACAATAAATACTATGACGTAAATTACACAGTAAAAAATTTTGCGTCATTACGTCAAAATACATGAAAAAGTTGTTAAATCAATCAACAAAAAGTGTTAAATATTTAACACAAAAATTTTTAACATTAAGTTTTTTGACGCAATGACGCAAAATTTTTTACTGTGTAAATTTACTCCGATTTTATACTTAGAAAAAATAAAAATTATATCCAGACAAGAATTTCTTGTTGATTAAAATTTTAATATATTAATTTTTTTGATAGAAAATATTTTAAAATTAACTTTGTAAATTTTAGATATTGATGGAGGACGCATAAAATCAAGTGGTAAAATCCATTCGCGCCCCCCGACAAATCACTATTCTTCACATCACAGCTCGTCATATCATAACACATATCATCCCGCACCACCCAGCCAAGGTATGTATTTTTCAAAATTAATAAATAATTAGTATCAAAAACTAAATTATTGTCATTTTTTAGTCGTTGTTGTCCCATCCAATGGCGGCTACCAAAAGTCCAGTTTCTCAAACAGCCTCGCCTCTGGTTTTGGTCAGGGAGTAGGATTCGGAGTGGGCCAACAAGCCGTAAAGAGTGTCTTCAGTGGGAGTAGCAGTGGATCATTTCACACAGTTAATCATGTATATACGAATCAAGCTGCTCCAGGTGTACTGGCACCATCCAGCGGACAATCTGTCACTGTTGTTCAGACAGAAGAAAAAAAAGGATTTCCCGTGATATATATCATCATAATTGTAATCGGCTGCATTGTTGCATCGATTGTTCTATTGTTACTGATAAAACTTCTCGGCAAATAAGATTTTAATTTTATTTAATGCTGTAATTATTAAAATCTATAATTGATAAAAGAACAATCAAATATACAGCAATCATGAATTTAAATTAAACTGAAGAAAATTCATTATTTTAACTTATAAAATTTTTAGAAATTATTAGATTATATTATTAAATGAAATGAAAAGTGACATTTAAATGTGTAATTTTTTGTAATACTGATATCGAAACAGACATTTAGAAATTTTTTAAATATTTCTCAACTAAAAATTAGTAAAAATAAATTTTTTTATGTAAAAATTTTAAAAAGCTCTTAATATAATTTTACGAAAAATATTTTTTTTTATAAAAATAAACTAAAAATAGTTGTAAAAAAAAATTCATAGCACAATTTGACAAGTAGAAACTTTAAAAAGTTATGAATATAATTTTTTAAAAATATCAATATGAACTTATTAAAAAAATTGTCAAGTGTTTGCTGATTTCAGCCTTGTAATTTTTAATTAATCGAATTTTTGTAATTTTAATAAATAAACAATTAATTTAAAAGTCGCTTTTAATTGATAATTTTTTTAAAAATAAAAATTTTAAAAAACTGCCCTTGAAAATTAAAAAAAAATGAAATAATTAGCACAAGTAATATATAAGTCTGCTTACACTAGTACTAAGAGAATTTTTTTTCTTCAATCCGACTAAACTATATTTTTTTTGGTAAGCGTTAATTTTAGCGAGGCGTAAGAAAATAAATGCGTGAGTTAGATATCTTGTATGAGAAGCCATGTAAGGCCTGACACAGCTGGTGGCTCTATATATCTGCTCTGTATACCGAAAGTTTGGGTATTTTCTTCTTGAGCCGTAAGTGTGAGTAGAGTTGTCTGCATCTAGATATAATACACTAATACTAATCCTAATACTATACCCTGACGAGACACACAGCTTCAGAATAAGTACCAGCGGGAAGAAACTATTTTTACTTTTTCTTAATTTGTCTCATGCTCTTGCCGGGTTTTCTTTTTATACTTTTTTTCGCTCCGGGAGAATAGAGAAAGAAAGAACTTGTCGAAATAAATTTAATTGAGTCATATGGCAGGCACGTGCTACTATCACCCGGCGATCCGAGTCTCCCACAGGGTTATTATTAATATAAATATTAAAACTGCTCGCTGTTAGATTTATTTTTCTTCGTAATTAGTCACTTTCTTTATATTTTTATCAGCCAGCCTTAGCCTGAAGAAGACGATCATTAAGAAGAAGAAGAAGAAGAAGAAGAAGAAGAAGAAGAAGGTCATTAAAATAATGAACTTAATAGACAATATTATTTATTATAATTATTATTGATAAGGATATGATAAGAAGAGCTGAGATAAAAATTGCCGGACAACAATATGAGCCGGCGATTAATAAAAATTAATTACTTTTACGTTTATTCCATTGAAGATGTTAATTAATCGATCGGATACTTTTTTACGACTTTAATTATTGACAATGATAATAATAATAGTAATAGTAATAGTAATAATAATAGTAATATTAATATTAATTATAATAATAATAATAATAATGATAATAATTATGATAATAATAATAGTAATTATAATAATAATGATAATAATAGTAAGAGTAACAGCAATTGAATGATTCGACAATAGTGAGGACTAAATAATAAATAATTAATGTTAATAACAAATAATCGTGTTGTATAAACTACAAAGTACATTACAGTCTGATAAATGTGTGTAATAAAGGCACTTTAATTTATTAATGATTTAATAATAATAATAATAATTTTATTTTAATGTATTTTGTTTGGTTTCTCGGTAATTAAAAATCCGTTTGTTCCTATGGACTCTGTAGCGGCTGTTAAATAGATCTGGATGAAGATCTGGTGATATGGTGTGCTTCTCTCGTTGGTACGATGATTCGATGATGAGTGTAAGGTGGAGCCGAGGCACCTTTAACCCCGGTGAGGCAATGCGTGATGGTTTAGGCGAAGTGGTTGTCGGTGGAGCTTTTTTCTATTTAATGATTTGCTTAGAAGCATTTACGGTGGACGATTCCGGGACCGGATTCGTCGTATTCCTGCTTGGAGATCCACATCTGTTGGAAGGTGGACAGAGAGGCCAGGATGGAACCTCCGATCCATACGGAGTATTTCCTCTCAGGGGGTGCGATGATCTTAATCTTGATGGTTGATGGGGCGAGGGCGGTGATTTCTTTTTGCATACGGTCAGCAATACCTGGGTACATGGTGGTACCTCCGGAGAGGACGGTGTTGGCGTACAAGTCTTTACGGATGTCGACGTCACACTTCATGATGGAGTTGTAGACGGTCTCGTGGATTCCGCAAGATTCCATACCCAAGAAGGACGGCTGGAAGAGGGCCTCGGGACAACGGAACCTCTCGTTACCGATGGTGATGACTTGACCGTCGGGAAGCTCGTAGCTCTTCTCGAGGGAGGTGGAGGCTGCTGCGGTGGCCATTTCCTGCTCAAAGTCCAGGGCGACGTAGCAGAGCTTCTCCTTGATGTCACGAACGATTTCTCGCTCGGCGGTGGTGGTGAAGGAGTATCCTCTCTCGGTTAGGATCTTCATGAGGTAGTCGGTCAAGTCACGACCAGCCAAGTCCAAACGGAGGATGGCATGGGGAAGAGCGTAACCTTCGTAGATTGGTACTGTGTGAGAGACACCATCACCAGAGTCCAACACAATACCGGTGGTACGACCAGAAGCGTACAGAGAAAGCACAGCCTGGATGGCGACGTACATGGCTGGGCTGTTGAAGGTTTCAAACATGATCTGGGTCATCTTTTCACGGTTGGCCTTTGGGTTGAGTGGAGCCTCAGTGAGAAGAACTGGGTGTTCTTCCGGGGCGACACGGAGTTCATTGTAGAAAGTGTGATGCCAGATCTTCTCCATGTCATCCCAGTTGGTGATGATACCGTGCTCGATCGGGTATTTCAAGGTGAGGATACCTCTCTTGCTCTGGGCTTCATCACCGACGTACGAGTCTTTTTGACCCATACCCACCATCACACCCTAGTAATCAAACAAAAGTTTCTTTTAGTCCAAGCTCGGCTGTGTAAAATAAAAAATAGTAAATTATAAATTACCTGATGTCTTGGGCGACCAACAATGCTGGGGAACACAGCTCGTGGAGCATCATCTCCAGCGAACCCAGCCTTGCACATACCGGATCCATTGTCCACAACGAGCGCCGCTACATCATCATCACACATCTTGATAGGTTTTTATAAAACTTTCTGGAAAATAAAAGAAGAAATTAATCCCGTCACTTTTTTCATTCACTCTGTATAAATGAAACCCAATTAATAATTAATTAATTATCAACAATCATCCACTTCGCACTAATTAATTAAAAAAAAAAAAGAAAATAAAATTACAAATCTACAACCATTCTCTCACTCTCACTCTCAAAATTTTCACAATTAATAAAATCCAATGAGATTACTGCACAGAAAAATAATAGCACCTCACGTTTAAATAAAATAAATTAATAAATAAAATTTAAATAATAATTAAACAGATAATATTTAATTAAAAATTAACAAAGAAAGATTCAAGTCCGTACCGTGAGCAAAATTAAAATATCGGCGACGCGCTGAAGGCGTTCGTCTTGCAAGGGACCAAGAAACGAGTGTCGTTCTAGCAGCAGTGTGGGATCCCTTTATCCATATCGGTCCGAGCCAAAAATAGTTATCCGCCCCTTACATGGAAATCTACCGGTGTACACTCTCGGTCGTCGTCGCCGCCACCCGTCCGCGTACGCATTAGTAGTCATGGTCCTTACTCCTTACACATTAGTTCGCCCTAAGAGACCGTCGAGCATTTGACGAGCGACGTCGACGGCACCGGGTCCGGCGACGCCCCCCGAACCCAAATAAGGCGCCCGCTGCCCCACTCTACACCAAATTTCTGCTCTCGAGCTCTCATCAGACAACAAACCAAGATCTAACATCTCCATCTTAAGATTGTGCCCTCTCACTCTCTCGCTTTACCCTCCGACCTCTTCCTCGGGAGCTTTATTGGTCCCAACAGCCTAATAGAAGCCTCTGCAAATAAGCCGCTTCGCTTTCTCCCTCTTAATTAGACACCACAAAGCCCCGATTTCCCATTGCATTGCTCTCGCGATCGCAAGCCTAAAAGCTCTGCTTATTCTCATTCAATAAAAGCTTTCAAATTTCTTCTAAATAAATTATTTTAATAAAAATTAATCAGTTTTTTTTTAATTTTATATTTTTTGCGCGTTCAAAAAAATTTATTTTTTTTTATTAAAAAATTTACATTCAATTTTTCTCGTTCAAAATTTAAAAAATCGGCTTATTAATTTAGTGTTCGATTAAATTGATATTTTAAATAAATTTAAAAGAAAAAAAATGGACAAAGATAATAAGTTAAGGGACGTGTTGGTGTCGACTCACTGGAATTCCCTCGTTGGGCTGAGATCTTATCCACATCTGGAAAGTTTTGCTGGTGAAGATGAAGAACCGGGACACCCCACGAAGAAATACGAGGAGAATAACGAGCCGAGCACATGGTAAATGCCAGTAGCACTGTGTGACCCTTAAAAACTCTCTCCAAACCCCATGTACACGATAATGCCTAACCGGACAAAAAATTCTCTGTTACAAATAATTTTTAAGTTACTTTTCAAAGCTTGTAACAAAACTCACTGGCTGGATGAGTTAGATTGTGGATTTATTTTTTATTATTTTTAATTTATCATTATCATTAATTAATTTGCTTGTTTTGGAGTAATTTAAGAAATCAAACTTTTGGTTTTAATTTTTAATTTAAATATAAATTCAAGCTTATGTAATATTGTAATGTATAATTGTTAAAAAAGGAATTATGTAACCAAAAGTTTGATTCCCGGGTGAATAATAAAATATTTTTGTAGGAAGTTATTGAGCAGACGGATTGGAATGATTAATGCCAGACAGTTGCGGCTCTGTTGAATAAAACTCGATTGTTGAATCGCTGAAATAAAAATAAGTATGCATTGAGGAACTTAATTAAATTTAATTAGCTTACAATTATAATTAGATGGTTGTGTGTAGGGATATCCGAAATGAATGTGAATTGACGGCTGTAAGATAAGACAGTATTTATTGCATAAGATGTTGACTTATGTATATACAAAAGATGATATTTGTGCTCGAATGACAACTATTGCCACGAAACTAGCTTCATACCTGAGAAACAAGTAATGTAGCGTCGTACGTGGTATATATGTGACCAAGCGGTTTACGATAAACACGTTGCTTATTTACAGAATATGTAATCGAAGTAATGGTTTAATTTAAGTGGTAAAAATGTCTGAATTAAGCATCTTAGAAGCACTTGCGGTGAACAATTCCAGGACCGGATTCGTCGTACTCCTGCTTGGAGATCCACATCTGTTGGAAGGTGGACAGAGAGGCCAGGATGGAACCTCCGATCCATACGGAGTATTTCCTCTCAGGGGGTGCGATGATCTTGATCTTGATGGTGGATGGGGCGAGGGCGGTGATTTCTTTCTGCATACGGTCGGCAATACCTGGGTACATGGTGGTACCTCCGGAGAGGACGTTGTTGGCGTACAAGTCTTTACGGATGTCGACGTCACACTTCATGATGGAGTTGTAGACGGTCTCGTGGATTCCGCAAGATTCCATACCCAAGAAGGACGGCTGGAAGAGGGCCTCGGGACAACGGAACCTCTCGTTACCGATGGTGATGACTTGACCGTCGGGAAGCTCGTAGCTCTTCTCGAGGGAGGTGGAGGCCGCTGCGGTGGCCATTTCCTGCTCAAAGTCCAGGGCAACGTAGCAGAGTTTCTCCTTGATGTCACGAACGATTTCTCGCTCGGCGGTGGTGGTGAAGGAGTATCCTCTCTCGGTGAGGATCTTCATGAGGTAGTCGGTCAAGTCACGACCAGCCAAGTCCAAACGGAGGATGGCATGGGGAAGAGCGTAACCTTCGTAGATTGGTACTGTGTGAGAGACACCATCACCAGAGTCCAACACAATACCGGTGGTACGACCAGATGCGTACAGAGAAAGCACAGCCTGGATGGCGACGTACATGGCTGGGCTGTTGAAGGTTTCAAACATGATCTGGGTCATCTTTTCACGGTTGGCCTTTGGGTTGAGTGGAGCCTCAGTGAGAAGAACTGGGTGTTCTTCCGGGGCGACACGGAGTTCATTGTAGAAAGTGTGGTGCCAGATCTTCTCCATGTCATCCCAGTTGGTGATGATACCGTGCTCGATCGGGTATTTCAAGGTGAGGATACCTCTCTTGCTCTGGGCTTCATCACCGACGTACGAGTCTTTTTGACCCATACCCACCATCACACCCTAGTAATCAAACAAAAGTTTCTTGTAGTCCAAGCTCGGCTGTGTAAAATAAAAAATAGTAAATTATAAATTACCTGATGTCTTGGGCGACCAACAATGCTGGGGAAGACAGCTCGTGGAGCATCGTCTCCAGCGAACCCAGCTTTGCACATACCGGATCCATTGTCCACAACCAACGCTGCTACTTCGTCGTCACACATTTTGATGCTTTGTTGTATTCAAATTCTGGCAAAAAACAAAGAACCTAAATTAGTCTCTAGCTCATGATGTTCATATATAATGCATTTAATATATCGGTGTTAGACTAAGACAATTAATTTCACAACCCCGAGTTGTCATAGAATAATAATTAATTAAAATAAATTTCGTGTCATTTGTTACAGATGAACCGAAGAATTGACCCAGTTGCCTATAAACCGTAAGCTGCCGATGGCAAGGAGTGCCCGCAACGCGTGCAATCCTATTTTTGGTGAGCGTGATCTATGTTTAGCCGAAGCGCGGACGCTCCCTATAAGTTCAAGCAGCGGAGATTATGAACCCCTCCGACACCGCTGAGCCAAGCAACCACCAACCTAGCTCGGTACTCTCTATATGCTATCATCACTGACTTCTCTACATGCTTCTAACAGTTTAGTTATAACGGCTCGCGTGCCAAAATTATGCTTCTGCAAAACGATCAAGAGATTCCCAATCCGGCCAAAGACCCTCCGCCCAACTCTATATCTCGCCTGACTCAACTTTAGCTTTTTCCGCTATTAGTCATAACTCGTCACACCATTTTAACCTCCGTTTCCAACTTCCTCTTTATTTTATTCTACTTCCAACTATTTATTTACTCTCCGAACTTCTACGAACTAGAACCATCAGCTCCACCCAACTCCGCGAATTCTTCAGATTTTTTTTCACTTGCTCACTACAAAGTCGCCTGCCAAATCTATTTCAAATTACTCACATCAAACGCGCTGCTAATTTTCTTTCCTCCGATCGCTTCCAAAACTTTCCAAATCAATTTTATAAAATTAAAAAAAAAAAATTAATATTTTTTTAAATCAAAAAACGAACGCGTGAAAATATAATTTTCAGAAAAATTTTCCAGGAATACGTACCGTACACAGAACAGAGTGTGGTGGCGTCTGTGGTAAAGAGCGTCGCGACGTCGAATATATGCTCTCGTCCAGCCGCCCCCGCATTTCCGTACATCAAAATTCACCCGACAGGCACGAAAAAGGCGTGTATCACGATGCGCCGCGATGCTCTCCGAACTAGGCGACCCCATCCTCCTGGATTATCCAACTTTATTTTTCATCATACACCCGAAGTACGCAATGCTTTCTCTATAGAGCTTTTCTTCTTTACCTAAATTCTACATCGACACTCAAGCCAATGAACGTCTATTTTTAATTATCATTATCCCAAATCCAGTTACATGGCTCACATTTTTTTAACACCGTTGCACCATCTTGCTCTATTTTTTTAAAGCTCCAATTTAAAGTTCTGTAGCCGAAAAAATATTTATAATTAATAACTGCTGAAAAGATAATTAATTTTTTTATTTTTTTACTAACTTAATTATTTTTGCTGCTTGTAATTTCCAATTTTATGATACCAAATATAGACATTGCTCAAAAAATGATCTATTTTTGAATTTCAATAAGTATGAAAAAATTTATACAAGAATATAATTATTAAAATTTGAACAAGTAATTGATGATTAAAAATAGAACAAAATCAAAAAATTTGACATTTTTTATGTTTAAATATTTTTATTAAATTAATAAAGTAAAAAAAAATTTTTTAACTTTAAATTTAGTAAATTTTTAATATTTGATTTTAATTATTGAAAATTTAAAATAACTAGTAACTTTGCAGTCACTACGTGACTGCCGTGACTTATAAATAAATAAAATTTTACTTTATTAAATATTGACTTTTCTTGAATTGCACTGTACTTTCTTAACTATTGACGTTTTTAAAGATATAAGCACATCCTGATGTTACACTCATCAAGAGCTTTCATTTGAGTACCTACATGGATTTTGATATATTTTTCATATATACATATATATAATATATATAAATATATGAAAAATTGATGTGGGTACTCAAATGAAAGGTCTCGATGAGTATAACGCCAGGGTGAGCTTATATCTTTGAAAATGTCAATAGTTCACAAGGTACAAGGTCATTGCTTAATTATTGACATTTTTTAAAATATAAGCTCATCTCGATGTTACACTCATCAAGAGCTTTCATTTGAGTACCCACATGCATTTTGATATATTTTTCATATATACATATATACATATATAAATATATGAAAAATTGATGTGGGTATTTAAATGAAAGGTCTTGATGAGTGTAACATCGAGATGAGCTTGTATCTTTAAAAATGTCAATAGTTCACGAGATACAAGGTGATCTCTTAATTATGTATCTAGAGATAGAGAATTTTCGAATACAGCCTAAATACTTATAATAATAAATTGACTATCGGTGAGAATGATATGAAAACTTCACTAAAAAAACTGATTTTATCATATGACTATCCTGGACACAAAATTTTTCGTATTCTCTTAATAATATAGATTATCAATAGTAAAAATATTATATTTATAGAATTTATTTTAAAAATTTTGTGAAAATTAAAATTAATTTCAAAGGAAAATTTTTAATCGCAAAAATTACATGAAAATAAATTATTTATAATAATTAAACATGAAGAACTTAAATAACCGTATATAAAAATGTTAATTTAATAATTGTTCTTAAAATATAAAAATTCTATAAACTATAACATTAAAAAAATTTATTTACAGCATATAAATCAATCATCGCCGATGTTCCAACATCCTATACAACTCAAATCAGTTATGAAGAAACTCAATTATGAAACAAGGTGAGTTACTAATTAAAGATTTGTTTAAATTTTCATTGCCAAATAATTGCGCAACGCTAATCTTCAGTGAATTTTTATTGTCCTTTTTAGGTAGCGGCGCCGGCAATTTTAGTTTCAAAAACACAAACTGTCCATGGAGAAATCAAGTCCTTGAAAAGAATAAAAATAATTTTTAGATAATAATTTTGTAAACAAAAACTACTTGTCAACATTTATAGATGTAAGTACTTGTCTTATTTTTAATAATATTTATTAAATTGAGAAACGGCTGATAATTTTTTGAATTTTTTTAACAAGAAAAATTCATTTTTAGAAACTTTAAAAAATTATAAATACAATTTTTTGAACCTAGTTTATTTTTCAAAAAATTGTCAAGTGTATTCTAATTTCTGTAAAATTTTTCAAAAAAAAAAAAAAACATTTTTTTGTCAACAATTAATAAAAACATAAATAATAAATAAGCCAAAAATTTGTCATAAATTTTTATTTATTTTTACAGTATAAATTTTTTAAAGCTGCGTCTATTTAAATGCTGTCTAAAAATAAATAGATCGAACAAATAAATAAAAAAAAAAAATTGTAAATTAAAATATAGACATTTCGCATCTTGAAGAGGTAACAACACAGCGTGATATATGTAAACAACGGCGCAAGGTCGGACAGGTAGGCAGACGTCACAACAGAGAAGTTATTTTAACTTGATGGCTCGTTTTATTTTATTGAAACAGTACTGTCAGTTGATCTCGCCATACCGAGTCATACTCGGTGCTCTACCAAGTCCATCCAACATCCAACGGATTGCAATGTTACTCATACGATTAATATAGTTTCAATTGCTTTAATGAAATTTATGTAATACTCATAATTTTATTATTAAAATTAAAATTTATTTCTTCAAAAATTGTTACATTAAATAAGAGATCTTTATTAATAATTAAGTAACAAATTTTAAAAATATAAATAAAATTTGTATTTAAAAATTTCGAATGAAAAAAAAAATGAAATATTTTTGTATGACCTAGTTGTAAGTATTAATAGATTGTTTTCGTAATCAATGAATAGTTTTAATAAAAAAGGAACGTGCAGAGTAGAGAAGAAAAATAAATAGAAGTACGGGACGACGATTTCCAAAAATAAAAACGAGAAGAGACCAACGAGGAGGAGACTTTTAAGTATAATTTTAAGCGATGTAGAATAAAAATAGTAAAAGTAGGAGGAGGAAAAAAAAATCACGGTGATTTAAATAATTTAGATTTATATTTTGGCTGGCGAATAAATTGACATTATATAATAATATAATAATGATAATAATTATAATAATAATAATAATATAATGTATAGTATTTACAAAATAAATAATAGTATTTTATTGTAGACATACATAAATATAATAGTAATATTAATATTAATATAATAATAATATTATAAGTAGTATAATAAGAGATTTAATAGTTGTACAGAGTGATGGTTAATTCATCATTTTAAGATATAGATTCTTAGAGATATAATTTTTGGTCGAGTATTGTATTCCAAGATCAGACGAAGAACAGGTGGAAGTGTCTTGCGTTACAGATAAGAAGCGCCGCGGTACCAAAAGTCGGGGAGAGACGATGCGCCTTTGGAATTTCTTGATAGGTTTTTTAAAAGTCGCAAGGTGGACCCAGGTGAGCCGTTTCGTGATAGCTGTTGGGTCGACGAAATATGTCCCGGATTCCTGGGCGACTGGAGCGACTAAAGAGGACGTCCTGGAGGTGGATGATGAAAGAAGTAAGAGGTCCAAGGGTGCAACGTCGGGAGGTGGAGGTGAGCGGACTAGACTGTGGTATCGCGCTGTGACGGAAAACGCAGGCTTCTGTTCGCCGTCCTCGATTTGACTATGTGTCTGTGTACTCGCCCTTCAAATACTGAGTATTGTGGAGGTCGTTCGGGCCCAATGCTCGCTGTGGCGCGCGGAGCATGAAACGCATGAGAACGAGACGCGGACACAAGGTTGAAGGTAAAGATAGTTGGAGAGATGTTGGAGGAAGGTGATTGGCAATACGATGACTCAGGATGGTGAGATGATATCTTTATGATTGTACGTGGGCTGACGAGTGGATCGTTGACATTGGACGAGGTCTATTGTAATTACAATGCCATCGGACGGTAGTACTTTGGTTTGTAGATTGTTATTGTCCATGAGCCCGATGGACTGTTGAGATGGTATGGAGATTAAACATCTTAGAAGCACTTGCGGTGGACGATTCCGGGACCGGACTCGTCGTATTCTTGCTTGGAGATCCACATCTGTTGGAAGGTGGACAGAGAGGCCAGAATGGAACCTCCGATCCATACGGAGTATTTCCTCTCAGGGGGTGCGATGATCTTGATCTTGATGGTTGATGGGGCGAGGGCGGTGATTTCTTTCTGCATACGGTCAGCAATACCTGGGTACATGGTGGTACCTCCGGAGAGGACGTTGTTGGCGTACAAGTCTTTACGGATGTCGACGTCACACTTCATGATGGAGTTGTAGACGGTCTCGTGGATTCCGCAAGATTCCATACCCAAGAAGGACGGCTGGAAGAGGGCCTCGGGACAACGGAACCTCTCGTTACCGATGGTGATGACTTGACCGTCGGGAAGCTCGTAGCTCTTCTCGAGGGAGGTGGAGGCTGCTGCGGTGGCCATTTCCTGCTCAAAGTCCAGGGCGACGTAGCAGAGCTTCTCCTTGATGTCACGAACGATTTCTCGCTCGGCGGTGGTGGTGAAGGAGTATCCTCTCTCGGTTAGGATCTTCATGAGGTAGTCGGTCAAGTCACGACCAGCCAAGTCCAAACGGAGGATGGCATGGGGAAGAGCGTAACCTTCGTAGATTGGTACTGTGTGAGAGACACCATCACCAGAGTCCAACACAATACCGGTGGTACGACCAGAAGCGTACAGAGAAAGCACAGCCTGGATGGCGACGTACATGGCTGGGCTGTTGAAGGTTTCAAACATGATCTGGGTCATCTTTTCACGGTTGGCCTTTGGGTTGAGTGGAGCCTCAGTGAGAAGAACTGGGTGTTCTTCCGGGGCAACACGGAGTTCATTGTAGAAAGTGTGGTGCCAGATCTTCTCCATGTCATCCCAGTTGGTGATGATACCGTGCTCGATCGGGTATTTCAAGGTGAGGATACCTCTCTTGCTCTGGGCTTCATCACCGACGTACGAGTCTTTTTGACCCATACCCACCATCACACCCTAGTAATCAAACAAAAGTTTCTTTTAGTCCAAGCTCGGCTGTGTAAAATATAAAATATCAAATTATTAATTACCTGATGTCTTGGGCGACCAACAATGCTAGGGAAGACAGCTCGTGGAGCATCGTCTCCAGCGAAACCAGCTTTGCACATACCGGATCCATTGTCCACAACCAAAGCCGCTACATCATCGTCACACATCTTGAAGCTTGTTTATTTATCTGCAATTCAAAAATTATCAATTAGTTTTCTTTTTTTATCCAAAATTCGTTTTATCCTATCAGATTACAATCCCAAACTCTATTTAATTTTTTAAATTATCTAATCCAACTATTTGTTTTCTTTTTCTAATTTTATAAAAAAAAAAGTGACTTTTACTCAAAAAATCCACAATTATAATCAATAAGTAAATTTACTTCACAAAATTATTTTTTTAATTCACTTAATTTAATTTCCACAGCACATTAATAATAAAAAGCTCCACCACTATAACTTTACAATTCCCATCACCTTTCTTCAAAATTTAAAAAAAAAAATCAAATAATAATTTTCTGAACTAAAACTCGAATAAAATTTGAAAATAAATTAATAATACATGAGTTAATATAAAAATTATTAAAAAATTCTAGTAGCAAAAGTACTTAGAATAAAGACGAGCAGTACTAACCGTAGAATGTGGGTAAGAAGTGAACAAACTCGCGTCTGAGATGCGGATGAGCTCTGGAAGCTCTGACACTCGCAGATATATCGTAGGTGGGTCTCGTGCCGCCGTTACCGAAGATGGGCACGACGAGTCTCCAGGGGTAGCCAACAATCTGCCCACGCAGCTTCTGCCCACGCCCAGTAGCGCAAAAAGCTCGAAATTATTACATTAGTATAAGTAGTGCATTCGTAGTGACGGCAAGTTGTTGTTACTTTTCTCAGTCCGTCTTTGGACGGCCCTGCCGCTGTCTTCAGTCTCTTCATCTTCTCCTCCTCTATCTTTTACCATCATATCTATTTTGTTGATTGAAAGTTATGCACATCCCACCCTCATTTCTCGTTTAGTTTTAAGTTATAATTAGCCCGAAAATAAGTTTACATTTTATACACTTTATTCTTTCATTAGATTACTTTATTTCCGAGTGTTCCTATTTCTTCTCAAAATTCCTCTAAAAATTATAATTAATATTATACCACCCCATAGTTTATAATTATAATTTTAAAAAATTCTAAAAAGTCAATTACTTAAATTTAAAGTTGCTTATTTATAATCTCACCTCGCTTATTTATTTATCAATCTTATATTTAAACAAACATAATCATGACTAAATAAGTCGAGGGCCTGGATTTATTTTGTCTTGAACAAGATATTTCTGCCGCGGCCGCTGAAGATTAAACATCTGCGTTGTTCTAAAAGTTATGATACGTTCCACGTCGATAGAATGTAGATCAGAATTTCTTCTCATAGATTACGATCGCAATTTTTATTGATTATTAATAATCTTATCTATTGGAACAGAAAAAAATTGAAAAAAAAAAAAAATAAATATTATCTAATGTTTTTAAATTAATAAGAGACTAGCTACCATGCAGTCACTATGTGACTGCAATGAATGGTGAACTATAAATAAGTAAAATTTTTGCTTTATTAAAAAATTACTTTAGTTAAATTGTACTGTAGTTTCTTAATTATTGACATTTTTTAAGATATAAGCTCATCCTGATGTTACACTCATCAAGAGCTTTCATTTGAGTACCCACATGCATTTTCATATATTTTTCATATATACATATATATAATATATATAAATATATGAAAAATTGATGTGGGTACTCGAATGAAAGGTCTCGAGGAGTGTAACATCGAGATGAGCTTATATCTTCAAATATATCATTAGTTAAAAAGATAGCAAGGTCAGTTCTTAATTATTGACATTTTTTAAGTTATAAGCTCATCCTGATGTTACACATATCAAGAGCTTTCATTTGAGTACCCACATGCATTTTCATATATTTTTCATATATACATATATATAATATATATAAATATATGAAAAATTGATGTGGGTACTCAAATGAAAGGTCTTGATGAGTGTAACATCGGGATGAGCTTATATCTTTAAAAATATCAATAGTTCATAAGATACAAGGTCATTTCTTAATTATGTATGTAAAGATAGAGCATTTTCGAATGCAGCCTTAATACTTATCATAATAAATTGACTATTGGTGAGAATGATATGAAACCTTGAAAAGGCACAAATTCAAATCAAGACCTTTGCAATGACACTAAATTTCATTAAAAAAAACCGATTTTATCATATGACTATTCTGGACACAAAATTTTTCTTATTCTCTTACTAATATAGATAAGTCGGAACTTTGCTCCCAGATATTACATCGCCGTATCGATGTATTTTTTTTCAACATAAAAATGAAGTAATATATTTATTCATGCACGCATTTAAAAAAACCGGTTTATAAAAAATTATATTTGGAATTTTAACCGGTTTGTTAACTTAATACATTTAAGGTTCAATAGTCGCATATTCTTTTATATTTTTGTTTTTTTTCTTTAATTTTATTACGCTTCAATTTATTTTAATAATCTATTTTATAAAAAAAAAAAGTCACACTTCCGGGGTATCTTTTTATTTTTTATTTTAATTTGTTATTGAAAAAAATCACTCATTAAAATAAAAATAAATTCTTTTGTTCGATGAAAAAAACATCTTAAAATATATATAATAAAAATTAATTAGTTTTTATTCTTAATTGAGACCATTAGAAATTAATTTTTTAGAAAAAAATAATTTTATTAATTAAAAAAAAATAAAAATTTTTTTCCATATTGAAAAAGTAAAAAAAAATAATTTTTTTATCTTTATAGTCAAGGTTAAAATATATGACCAAATCCTATGATTGAAAATAATAAATAAACCTCAATAGCAATCAAATATTTTAATTATCATGTAAGTTTAGTTAATAAATAAATATAAAAATAAAATAATAATAATAATAATAAAAAGAAAATTGAATAAAAAAAAAATTTCAATTAAAAATGACGAGCGATAAAAAAAAGTGACTTCACAGAGTAGTTATTGACACATAAATAAATCCCATAAAAGTAATAAGGTAACAATTATTTTCTAGTTTGTCACCATTTGCATGGTTCAACGGAGCTGATAATAATTACGAAGGCTACCTGGTGGGGTAATAAGTGGGGGATCTAACACCACAGTCCTGATGAAGTTATAAGACCGGCTTAACAAGAGGAAACCCCAGTCCAGCTGGACAGCTTCAACCTCAACTTTGTATATCCACATCGACATCCACATTAACCACAACAGCAATGTTACTCACGTAAGTACACTATAAATAATAATCGCCGGATAAATTACTCATTATTATCCGCAAAGAGGAAATTCGTTCACCAAAATAGCAATCATTTTCCTGAAAAAATTTGTTCGCATGATAACATTCAATAAAATAAAATACAATACAATTAATTGCTAGTTTCAATTCACGACACGAATAACAAGTGTCCCCGGAACTCGAAAGGTCACTGCTATGCATACAATATAAATTATCTATATTATTGAGAGAATAAGAAAAATTTTGTGTCCAAAATAGTCATATGATAAAATCTTTTTTTTTAGTCAAATTTAGTGTTATTGCAAAGGTCTTGATTTGAATATGTGCCTTTTCAAGGTTTTATATCATTCTCACCGATAGTTAATTTATTATGATAAGTATTTAGGCTGCATTCGAAATTACTCTTATCTCTAAATACATAATTAAGAAATGACTTTGTATCTTGTAAACTATTGACATTTTTAAAGAGATAAGTTCATCCCGATGTTACACTCATCGAGACCTTTCATTTAAGTACCCACATCATTTTTTCATATATTTATATATATTATATATATGTATGTATGTATGAAAAATATATCAAAAATGCATGTGGGTACTCAAAAGAAAGCTCTTGATGAGTGTAACATCAGGATGAGCTTATATCTAAAAAAAATGCCAATAATTTAGACATGACTTTGTTATCTTGTCAACAAATGATATTTTTAAAGATATAAGCTCATCTCGACATTATACTTCTCGAGACCTTTCATTTGAGTACCCACATCGATTTTTCATATATTTTATATATTTATATATATGTTATATATATAAATATATCAAAAATGCATGTGGGTACTCAAATGAAAGCTCTTGATGAGTGTAACATCGGGATGAGCTTATATCTTAATAAATGTCAATATTTAAGAAAGTACAGTGCAATTTAACAAACGTCATTATTTAATAAAGCAAAATTTTATTTATTTATAGTTCACAAGTCACATAGTGACTGCAAGGTTGCTAGTATTTATTTAACTTATTTTACCGATCAATTAGATCTAAAACTCGCATTTTTTCAGGTACCGCTTGTTAGCGACTTTGGCAATAACTTCAGTTTGTTATTGCGAGTCTCCAGCAGATGATCCCACACTCATAGCACGTGCTCAGGAGCTCTTGAACAAAATAAACAAAGAGTACGGCGAGTGGAATTACAAAGTATCAGTTGCGGCGTGGAATTACGCATCAAATCTCACTGATCACAACTTAGCCGTTCAGTTAAATGTATCCGCTCAAGTCGCTGATTATGTCAGGGAAGTTTATAAAGAAGTCAACGCCTTTCCTTGGAGAAATATCTCGGACTTTAATATTAGGAGACAGTTTACCGAATTGGCGACTCCGGGATCTGCCGCTTTGTCTCCTGAAGTAAGTTAAAGCACTTTTCATTATACTTAGATAAAATGACAAATTTAGATGTCAATTTTATAATTTTTTTAAGAAAAAAAATCGTTGAAAATAATTATTTAAAAAAAATTGTATCTTTTTAAAAAAAAAATTTTTATGCCAATTTTATTTGCTATAATTTATTTATTAAAAAAATTCTTAAAATTATCACAGAAAAAAAAAAACAATTTTTTTTTTGTGATTGTAATTAGTTGTAATTTATCTAAAATTATTTGGATCTAAAGAAGAAATTGTTCCAGAAATACAGGCAGTATGATGAAGTAGTAAACAAAATGCAGAGTACTTACTCAACAGCAAAAGTATGTCAGTATAAAAATCAAAGTAATTGCAATCTGGCGCTAGAGCCAGAGCTCACTGAAATATTGATCCACAGTCGGGATCCAGAAGAGTTGAAATATGTTTGGCATGCTTGGAGGAACGCGTCGGGAAGAAATGTCAAAGAAGATTTTATTAAGTATGTTGAATTGAGCAATGAAATTGCTAGGTTGAATAATTATACTGACATGGCGGAGTTTTGGATGAAAGAGTATGAAGCTGATGATTTTCCTCAGCAAATTGGTAAGTTTGTAGGATTAAATTATTATAAGTCTTGTTAGTTGATTATTGTGACCGCTAATTGTGATTGGAATTGGATTTACAGAGGCGATATGGCAACAAATAAAACCGCTGTACCTTGAACTGCATGCGTATGTTCGCGGTCAACTTCGTCGTAAGTACGGAGAGAGTGTTGTGTCTAAGGATGGTCCTATTCCAGCACATTTACTTGGAAATATGTGGGCTCAGACCTGGAATAATATTGCTGAGTTTACTACTCCTTATCCGGGGAAAAAATTACCTGATGTTACTGATGCTATGGTTGAACAAGGTAAGATTATTATTTTTGAGTTTTTATTCTAAGGCCTAGTTTTTTTAATTTTTGATGAAATTTTTTTATTAATTATAAGTTGAATTTCTATAGAGATGTCAATTATTAAATTGAGAATTACATTATAAGATGATAATAATATCTAGCAACCTTGCAGTCACTATGTGACTGCAGTGAATTGTGAACTATAAATAAATAAAATTTTGCTTTATTAAATAATGACTTTTGTTAAATTGCACTGTACTTTCTTAACTATTGATGTTTTTGAAGATATAAGCTCATCCCGATGTTACACTCATCAAGAGCTTTCATTTGAGTACCCACATGCATTTCCATATATTTTTCATATATTCATATATATAAATATATAATATATATGAAAAATTGATGTGGGTACTCAAATGAAAGGTATCGATGAGAGTAATATTGAAATGAGCTTATATGTTTAAAAATATCAATAGTTAACAAGATACAAGGTCGTTTCTTAATTATTGACATTTTTAAAGATATAAGCTCATCCTGATGTAGCACTCATCAAGAGCTTTCATTTGAGTACCAACATGTATTTTGATATATTTCTCATATATACATATATATATTATATATATATAATATATAAAATATATGAAAAATTGATGTGGGTATTCAAATGAAAGGTTTCGATGAGTGTAACATCAGGATGAGCTTATATAGTTAAAAATGTCAATAGTTCTCAAGATACAAGGATATTTCTTAATTATGTATCTCGAGATAGAGCATATGACTATTCTGGACACTAAATTTTTTTTTTTCTTTTAATAATATAGATAATAATAAATAACAAATTTTAATTAAAATTTTTCAGGCTACAATGCAACAAAAATCTTCCGAGTAGCCGAAGATTTCTTCACATCACTAAACTTAAGCCCAATGCCAGACACATTTTGGCAAAATTCAATCCTAGAAAAACCCGAAGGCGTAGAATTAATTTGTCACGCAAGTGCTTGGGACTTTTACGACGGCAAGGACTTTAGAATAAAACAGTGTACACGTATCAACATGGAAGACCTTCTTACAGCTCACCACGAAATGGGACACATTCAGTACGACTTGCAGTACAAAAATCAACCCACAGTCTTCAAAGACGGAGCAAATCCAGGATTTCATGAGGCAGTAGGTGACACAATAGCACTAAGTGCGTCAACCCCGGAGCATCTCCAAGAGATTGGGTTGCTAGATGATGCTTCTACAGACAAAGAAGCTGTCTTAAACCACTTGTACCTGAACAGTTTGGACAAAGTAGTCTTCTTGCCATTCGCGTACATGATGGACAAATGGCGCTGGGGTGTCTTCCAGTCGAAAATAACTCCAGATAATTACAATTGCGAGTGGTGGTCACTTGCTGAAGAGTTCCAGGGAATTGTTCCTCCGGTAAAACGCAGTGAAGATGACTTTGATCCAGGCGCAAAGTACCACATTGTCGCGAGTGTTGAGTACATTCGGTACTTTGTCAGCTTTGTAGTCCAGTTCCAGTTTCACAGGTCACTTTGCATTGAAGCTGGACAGTACGATCCGCAAAATCCACAAACTAAAGCTTTGAGCGAGTGTAATATTTATGGAAGCAAAGAAGCTGGAAAATTATTCAAGTACTGTCTTATTTTTATTTTTATTTGATACTAGGGTCTGTAATTAAAATTGATAAAAATGATTTAATTATTTAATTGATTAAAATTAGTAAATAAAAATTTTTATTTGGCTGAATTTTAGATTATTTTTTTTTTATGAAAAATAATTATATAATTCAGCTGAATAAAAAAATATTTTATTTTTATCAATTATTTTATTTTATTTAAAATAAATATTTTGGAATAGAAACAATTAATAATTAAAAAATTTTTTTTAGGTCTATGCTGGAGTTGGGATCTTCAAGACCGTGGCCAGATGCGATGGAGAAAATAACCGGACAAAGAAAAATGGACGCAAGTGGTCTTCTTGAATATTTCAAACCACTAATGGACTGGCTTAGAGCAACAAACGCTAAAAATAATGAGATTATTGGCTGGAAAAATTCCGAAAAAAGTAAGATTTAAAAATTAAATTAAACTAGCAACTTTGTAGTGACTATGTGACTGACGTGACTTGTGAACTATAAATAAATAAAATTATGGTTTATTAAATAATGAATTTTGTTAAATTGTACTGTACTTTCTTAATTATTGACGTTTTTAAAGATATAAGCTCATCTTGATGTTACACTTATCAAGAGCTTTCATTTGAGTACCCACATGCATTTTCATATATTTTTCATATTTACATATATGTAATATATATAAATATATGAAAAATTGATATGGGTACTCAAATGAAAGGTCTTGATGAGTGTAACATCGGTATGGGCTTATATCTTTAAAAATGTCAATAGTTTACAAGATACAAGGTCATTTCTTAATTATTGACATTTTTTAAGATATAAACTCATCCCGATGTTACACTCATCAAGAGCTTTCATTTGAGTACCCACATGCATTTTTGATATATTTTTCATATATTCATATATATGATATATATAAATATATGAAAAATTGATGTGGGTACTCAAATAAAAGGTCTCGATGAGTGGAACATTAGGATGGGCTTATATCTTTAAAAATGTCAATAGTTTTCAAGATACAAGGTCACTTCTTAATTATGTATCTAGAGATAGAGTATTTTAAAATTCAGCCTAAATTCAAGTCAAGACCTTTGCAATGACACTAAATTTCACTAAAAAAAACCGATTTTATTTTATGACCATATTCTGAAAACAAAATTTTTCTTATTCTCTTATTAATAAAGATAATAAATAAATATTTCTTTTTTTTTTTTCAGTTTGTGAGAAGAAACAAGAGACATGATTTTTAAGAGAAAATAATTGCGTTATTTAATACCGACAAATACTTCATTACATTCCAGTAAAATGGAAAAATATTACCTTTACATTACTTAATTAACACATAAGTTGATCTTGCGATTGACCTGAGATTCAATATTTAAAGTTCATTCGGAAAAAATTTTTTTAATTCTGTATAAATAAATCAGCGTTGTTATGTATCATTAAAATAATATAATAATACTATTGAAAAAAAGCTATCATCAGCTTTATTAAATTTTTGATAATTTCATTTTAATTGAGCAGTGCCATGATTAAAAATTTTATTTTCCACGACCCCGGCCGCGTCTACTCGCCGGTTTATCCACCGAAGCTTTTGAGGTAGTTTTTTTAGTAGTACTTTTTGCCGGTTCTTTTTTTGGAGCAGCTTTTTTCGCCTAAAATAATTCAAAAATATTTTTTTAAATAAATTTAGATACTTTAATTTTTTTTTTAATTATTACCTTGACCATGCGATCTGCTTCTAAACTATCATCGTCATTATCAGAGTCAGAAATAGTTTCTTCCCCAGCTTCCATGTATCCCGAATCCTCAGAAGTTAAATCACCACCGCCTTTTTTCTTGCTCGCCGTAGCAGCAAACGGTGTCAAGGTTGAATTTTTATTATAAGAACGCGTGAATGCCGCTCTTACTTTAGAATCAATCACTTGGAAAGGATCACGCTGACCTGGCCACAAAGAAACTTCAACTATTCCGTCTAAATCTTCTCTGCAGGTCAAAAATTAATAAAATAAATTTTTTAATAATAATTAAGTATTATTTTTTTTTAATTAATTTTTTATTGCATTTTGATAGATATTGTTCAGCAATTAATTAATTGGATACGTAAACTTACATTAATTACAATTAATTAATTTCCAATTAATTACTTGCTATGTATTTTTTTTTTTTTTTGAGTAATTTTAAATCCTCAAAGCGCAATAAAAGAATTAATTAATAATAATTTTTAAAAAAACTAATTTGAATGAAAAAAAAATTTTTTTTAAGTTTAATTGTCCTTAATCAAAACTAAAAATTCTTGAATCAAGTAAAATTTATTTAATTTCTTAGTTTAAAAATTAAAAAAAAAAATACCTGAGTAAATGGTAATGATTCATGACATCAACAGCCGAATCGACACCTTCAGTGCCATTGAGCGCCAGCGGCCGAGTAATTTTATCTCTCAATGCGTTGAGGTAATCAATATTAATCGCTTCTTTACTGGCGCCAGTAACCAGTCGCGTGTGAACTGTAATTTCTTGCAGTATTCTATCAAATTTATTGCGCTTGGAGTTACGTCCAAGCCAGCTGGGAAAATTTATTTGCGCACCAATGTGCCCGGACATCAGCGAGCCAGGAATTACAGAAGAGTAGCAAGCTTGAGCTGGTAGTAAAGACCAGGCGTTTTTTTCACGGATCGCTTTTTCTACTAAATCTCCCATTGACAAACTGTCAGCTGTTTTTGCAACTCTTTCCAATATTTGATCTCTGCAATACAAAATTAATTATTAATTAAATTAAATTAAATAATTACTAGCAACCTATAGTAGCTATTAAACTTCCCAAATTTACGGATAATGAATAAGAAAATTTTGGCCTACTTTTTTGATATTTATAATTACTGTGCAGGATTTTTTCCTTAATTTTAAAATAAGAATTAATTATTAATGGAAATGTTGGTCATAAAAAAAAAAATTTTTAAAGTAAAAGTTATTCAACATTTAATTTTATTAAAAAAAATATCTTATAATTTTTTTCTTCGAACCAATAAAAAAGCCGCAATTAAAAAATTAAGATTTTTATAAATAGCTAAAATTTGAATCATTAATTATAAATCTTAATTTTGAAATTACTGTTTTATTTTCTTATTGGCCGTAAGAAAAAATTATAAGAGATATTTTTTTTTATAAAATTAAATGCTGAACAACATTTATTCAAAAAATTTTTTATGCGACCAATATTTTCGACTTAATATCTAAACTTTGACACCATATTCTTATCCTCTTAATTATATAAATTATTTATCTACCAAAACTTACTTGGGAACTTTAGGCACGACAGATAAATAATTCTCCTGCACAAACAGCCCAGCAATATTATAATCATGAAAGAACAAGTCACTCTTATCATGAATGCTCATATTCTTATGTTCCTCAGCACTGAAAACCTTGCGAACAACATCCCAGGGTCCAAGCTTAAGATCTTTATTAATATCACCGGAAATCCTCCCTTCCTTTTTCTCCACAGGTTCACCCTTGAGCATCGCCAGATGATTAATAACCTGTCTTATATCAAAATTAGTCGACTGAATCAACCGATCCAAATTCTCCGTAGAGATCGAAATATTTTCTTTGCAACACAGCGACTTCATAGCGCCCCTAATTTGCTCTAGTCTAGGCTTCTGGAACCTCAGATCAAAAGTATAATTCGCTAGAGTCCTCATTTTAGGATGGTTCCGATCATTGCATATACAAATAATAGGAACATCAGCAGCTTTGATAAGATTAATCAGCTCTTGGAGCCCTCCACGGTCTTCATTGCCCGCCATACCATCCACCTCGTCCATCAGCAACACATGCTTCCTAGAAGTCTTGTCTTCTTTATTACTGGAGAAGTAACCTTTGACACTGGTGTTAGACAACAAAGTCGAGACTTCTTCTTTCAGGAGACGCTTACTTCTCGTATCTGAAGCGTTAAATTCAACCAAGTCGTAGCCGAGTTCATTGCAGACCACCTGGGCCGTGGTAGTCTTGCCTATTCCCGGAGCTCCGGACAACAAAGCAGCTTTGTAAAAAGCTCCATCGTCATTTTTTGCCCAAGGAGAAGGCTTAGGTGGCTTAACCTTGCCGTGTTGATTTTTGTGCCAGTTAAGAATCCACGTGTGCAATTTTCTTGCACAACTTTTATCAGTATGTTGACCAATTATTTGTTTCATCATTTTGGGACGGTATTTTTCTACCAAAGCTTCTACGTGATTATTACCAAAAAATTCTTGTTTTGATGTTGAAGCTTTTTCTGAACTTTCAAAAAATTTTGAAGGTTTTTCCGAACTTGTAATTAATGTTGAAGCTTTTTCTGAACTTGTAACAGATGTTGAAGCTTCTTTGGATGAAATTGGAGCTTTAAAAATATTTTCATCTTTAATATTAACACTCTTCATTTCAACATCTTCAATTTTATTAGGTTTGACCTCAGAAGAAATTTTTTTAGGAGGCGAAGGTTTGAGTTCATCATCTGTAGACTTATTAAAACTACTATTCTTCTTGCTGCGACTAGGAATCACAGCGGAGGACTTACCAGCAGGCCTGGAGCGGATCATCTCCAATAATTCGTCTTCAGAAATTTTTTTAACGTGCAAAGAATCCGCCTTGGCCATCTTAGACTCTCCAGCAGCATCTCCAACCACGAGATAATTAGTTTTCTTCGACAAATTTCCAACCACGCGACCTCCGTACTGCTTTATCAACTCATCGACTTCCTCACGCTCCAAAGACTCCAGGACTCCGGTCACCACGAAGCTCAAACCAGCCAAGCAGTTTTCCGCTCCCTTGGGAATTTCTTTGGAGCCGGGGTTCCTCGCGCCGCCTCTGTGGAGGTACTGCTGATAAGCAACCGCATGCTGTTTTTTCTTGGCGATGTTTTCTTCGTACACTTCATCTGCATCGTTCTTTTGTTTCTTCTTCTTGTCAACCTCGACCTCCAATTTTGAATGGTTGGCATTTTTATCCTTGGCTTTAGACTTTTCTTTTTCTACTTTGAGATCTTCGCTGAGTTTTATTTTTTTAGGCGAAGTTTCATTGTAGCTGTCACTAGGTTTGCGTTTTCCGCTAAACTGATCCAGTTTCTTTTCCTTATCCTTAGTCTTATCTTTATTCTGGAATATCGTTTCGATTTCTGTCGTGTCCAACTGGCTCAAGGTCGCTTCGAACTCCTTGTCGTCGTGAAAACTCGCCTCGGCTTCTTTTAATTTTTTGGGAATCGGTGCGGGGGCGTTTTTACGTTTGACTGGTTCTTTGCTGAATATACTGTCAAGAGTCACGGGCTTAAGCTCTTTTTCTTTCTCTTTAACCTTGTCCTTCCCCTTCGTGGATGGACTCTTGGAGACGGGTTTTTTTGTCACCGTATCCTCGTCGTCCGAGTCTGATATAATGTGGTTCGAAGTTTTTTTTGTCTACAAAAAGAATGATTTATAAAATTTTTTTTACAACTAATCAATTATGATTAAAAAAATTATTTTTAAAAATTCACTTATGATTTTTTATAATTTTTATATAATTTAATTTGATGACACTGAAGCCAGCAACAATTGACAATTTTTTGATTTTCTTTATTAATTAAACTTTATGAATTAAAAGAAAAAAAAATAGTTTTTATAAATTGCACGGATAATTTTTTAAATTTTCTACATGTAAAACTTTTTCTTTTAATTTTTTTTTTAAAAACAATTTTTCAATAAAACAAACTTGTGAACTATAAATAAATAAAATTTTGCTTTATCAAATAATGACTTTTTAAATTGCGCTGTACTTTCTTAAATATTGACGTTTTTTAAGATATAAGCTCATCCCGATGTTACACTCATTAAGAGCTTTCATTTGAGTACCCACATGCATTTTGATATATTTTTCATATATTCATATATATATAAATATATAAAATATATCAAAAATTGATGTGGGTACTCAAATGAAAGGTCTCGATGAGTGTAACATCGAGATAAGCTTACACCTTTAAAAATATCATTAGTTGACAAGATAGCAAAGTCAGTTCTTAATTATTGAGATTTTTTAATAACACTGAAGTTAGCAAACATCTAAAAATTTTTGATTTTTTTTTTTTAAATAAATTATAACTAAAAAGATATTTATAAAAAATTGCACTTATAGTTTTTCAAGTTTTTAACATGTAATATTTTTTTTTTTTAAATGTTTAATCGAAATTTTTAAATGTCAGCTAACTTTATTTTCATATTTTTTAAGATATAAGCTCATCTCGATGTAGCACTCATCAATAGCTTTCATTTGAGTACCCACATGCATTTTGATATATTTTTCATATATACATATATATATATAATATATATAAATATATGAAAAATTGATGTGGGTATTCAAATGAAAGGTCTCGATGAGCTTAACATCAAGATGAGCTTATATCTTTAAACATGTCAATAGTTCACAAGATACAAGGTAATTTCTTAATTATGTATTTAGAGATAAAGCATATTTGAATGCCACCTCAATATTTATCATTATAAATGAACTATCGCTGGGAATAATATAAAACCTTGAAAAGATACAAATTGAAATCAAGACCTTTGCAATGACACTAAATTTCACTAAAAAACCGATTTTATTATCTAACTATCTTGGACACAAAATTTTTCTTATTCTCTTAATATTATAGATTAATTAATTTAAAGTCAGCTAATTTAATTTTCATGATTTTACAAATTTTTGTAGTTATAATTTATTTATTAAAAAAATTCTAAAAATTATTAAATGGCTTTCAATTTAAGTTTCATTTTAATTAATCATTTTTATATAATAATTATTAATTGTTAAAAATTGTCAGCTGTTAGTTCGGAATCATAAAATATGATATAATAAATTAAATAAAAAAAATATTTACTTTTTTAGCTTTATTTTTTTTTGGACTTGCATGAGAATCTTCCTCATCAGATGACAACGTTTTTTTGTTAATCTTTGACGGCTTTGCTGCTGGTGCATTTTTGCTTTGTCCTTTAGGAAATGAAAAATACGATCGAATATCCTAGAATAAAAACACACAGCAACAATTACACTTTTGATAATAAACTTTTCAAGTATGTTATTTATCATAAATTTATACCAGCTACTCAAGTATATTATGAATTATGACTATTAGATAACCTAAAAAATTGTTGTGATATTATTAAAATACTTACACGCGACATTATTGATGATTATATGTGTTAGTATTTAAATTTAGCTCGCAATTGAGTAACTTAATTTTATTGTTTAAAATTTAATTTATAAAACAGTTATTTTATCCAGAAAAATATTAAAACAACTCCGAAAATTACAATAAAATTTCAGACGCGCATCTCTCAACTGCATCACTACATTTCGCGCACTTTTTTACACACTGAAAGTAGCAGCTGACAGTCTCAATGAGAATAAATTAAATATTGTTGAAAATAATCACGTGAAAAATAAAAAAAAGACAATTTTCTGGTTATATTAATAAAACTTTATAATTAAGTACAAAAAATTTTAAAAATTACATTTTTTAAATATTTTCAATATTTTTTAGCTGTCAAAAAATTTTTAAATTTTCTTAAAATCACTTAAAAGGTTTTTTATGTAAGAAGCATGTAACTATTTACTAAAAAAAAATGATTATTATTCTGATAAGAATAATTATCAGTAATAAAAAAAAAATCTTTTATTTACAAATACGTCGATAAAATAGGAATAAGCATGACAAATATTATTTAAGATATTTTTTTTAAGGTATAGTACCTCCACGAAAAGCATATTTTAAGAAACTTATGAAATTTTTTTATCGAAAGATAAATATATTAATAATACACGACCAAAATATCAGATCAATTCACCGTACCGTTTTTAAGTAACTAGAATTTAAATTTTCGCGCGCAAGCGCGCGCCTGACTATAGAATTTGCATATATTTTCATGCTTATGATATATTCAACCAATCACATTACGAACAGTTTGATTCCACATATATTTCATCTCAATTTTATATCAAGATTCATCTCAATTTTATATCAAGACTAGAATTTGAATTTACGCGCGCAAGCGCGCGCTTTGACTATAGAGTTTGCATATATTTTCATGCTTATGATATATTCAACCAATCACGTTACGAATAGTTTGATGCCACATACATTTCATCTCAATTTTATATTAGGATTAATTTTTGAAATTGCATCTTTTACACGGAGGTATAGATGCGAGAGATGGTAAAGTTAGTTTGAAATCTTCCGTACCGCTCGAGTGGTGTAAATAGATTTCATAGAAAAACTATAGTTCAATTAATATGCCTTTTGAAGCATCTGCTTCTCAATGTCCGAAGTGGTTAAGCGGTTAAATGCTTTGATTTTTTTTTTTTTTTGAAAAGTTTATTTTTATTTTTCCAGAGACAAAAGTTACCTAAATGATAATACAGATTAAAAAATACAATAAAAAAACTGTAACATAATTATAATAAATGATATTATTTTATCTTAGCTAGCTATATTAAATAGATCTCGCTAAGAAACATATTGGAGATTGTACTATTTAGTGTCAGAAACATAATTAATTTTAACATTCTTAGTTAAGCAAGATAATTTATAAAGAGATGCAAAAATTTGTGAATTTAAAAGCATCTAAATCTTTAAGGAGAGGGTGTGGGATAAGGAGTAGGACGGGGAAGAGGTATGGATAATGGGAGAGTAATAAATAAACTTAATCCTAATTATGTACATATTTACAAAATTTGTCGACTGATAGGCGCATTGGCGTTATAATAAAAAGCTTCTGAGGCTAATATTGAGTTGTAGTCTGCTTTAATGGTCCCAAACTGTTCTTCTCCTGATCTCGTCAAGATATTCAGCATCTGTCTGGAGCCACCAGTAATTTTTATTAAGACGGTGTGTGTCGCAGAGGTCCACTTTTGGCAATGAAGTTGAGAACATCTTATTTGACTCTTCAAAAAGTTCGGTTGTTAGTTTTTTATTGAAGCAGTGTCGTCTCGCGTGGTAGATGATTGGAAGATTATTTCCATCTTGTAGTAGGCCTCTGCGATCACAGAATGTGAACATCTCTGGAGTGACGTAGCCAGATGCACAAGCATTAAGACAGATGTTATCATCGGGGCAGATTAATTCATCCATTGTGGGATTTTCAATGTTTCTATAGTTAGCGTAGTAGTTCCTGCCTAATTTGAGGTAGAAACAGTCTATTCTAGTGATATTGGCTTCTTTATAAATCTTTTTATTACTTAATCTTTCCCGATACTCTGTCTCTGGTTTACGATACATGCCAATGCAGGAACGTAGAGCTGATCTCTCCAATCTCCTGTATTTTTACATGACCGTATGGTTCATGTTCCAGAGTATAGGTGCAGCGTAGGTGATCAATGGGCGGATTAATAACTGATAGCAGATGAGTTTTGCTTTGGGAGACAGATTTCTATTATAAAATATTCTGGAGTTGATTTTTATTGCCTTTTTGGCTTTTTCAAGTTGCGCTTTATGATGATTTGTCATATGAAGAAGATGATCAAAGGTAACTCCTAGGTATTTTACAGTTTTTTTAACCGGTATGTCAGTTTTTAGACCTAGGTGATCAGTTATTGTGATCTTGGCCGCCTTTATCCTGTTATATTGTGACACTTTTATTTGTTTGCAGGGACGTCTGAAAAAGATAATCTCACTTTTCAGCCCATTGATCTTCAAGTTCCATCTCAAATAATGGTCATTGATTTTATTAACACGGTCTTGCAGTTTGGCTTTCATGATGTCTACATTGGGATCAGCTATGTAGATGACTCTGTCATCTGCGAATGAAATAGAATGAACCCCGTTTTCTTCTAACTTTGTTGCGTCGTTGGTAAAGCTGTCGAAAATATTGAAGAGGATGGGAGACAGTACTCTGCCTTGTTGGAGTCCCTCTAGTATGGAAAATTTTTCAGTCGAAAGAGATAGGCCATCCCAAGTGTAAAAATAGTTACCAGTCAGCATATCTATCAAAAGGAAGATGAGACCACGCGGGAAGTTATTTTTTTCTAGTACAAAAATTAGCCCATCGATCCAGACGGAGTCGAAGGCCTTCTCTAAGTCAAGTAAAGCAGCTCCGACTATCATGTTATTATGAAGACATTTGTTAATATCAGAAGCGAACTTGTTCATCGCATGAGTTGTTGCATGCTTGTTTTTAAATCCAAATTGATTATTTGGTATGATCTTTTTGTCGCTGATAATAATGTCCAGTTGTTTTTTGACTAGTCTTTCAAAGACTTTGCTGACACTCATGGTGAGATTAATTGGTCGATAACTTTGCGGCAGTTCTAGGTTTTTGTCCTTTTTTGGGATGGGAAGCACTTTTGCGGCTTTCCATCTTTGAGGATAATACGCTAAATTAATCGCATTGTTAAATATGATGGTATAATGTTTAATAATTAATTCAGGTAGATTTTTAAGCACAATAGTGGAAATGTTATCTAACCCAGCAGATGTTTTATTTTTAAGCTTCTTTAGAATCAACAGGACTTCTATGTAACTGAACAAGAACTTCGGTTCATCATCTTTTATTACCGGGTAATGAGCTGGGTTACTTGTTGAGAAATTCACGAATGACTGATTTGTAGTTCTTATATTGTCTTTCATCTTTTTGGTGTTGGTAGCTACCGTGTCGACACTTAATTTAGTGGTGGTTCCAAAATTCGTGTATCTTGGAGCGTTTATGCTTTCCAGGTATTTACCTATGATATGTAACTTTGTATCAGGATCTGTAGCTATAATTTCGTTGTTATTAATTAGGTCTGGAAATTTATTGGAGCAGTGGTTGCTGAGAGTACTATTGTCCAATGAGATTTTTAACGTGTTGATGCTGATGTCTTTCTTTGGTCTGAGCATACGGTTAATTTTAGGAAAAAATTCTTGTGGATTTTTGTGATTAATACTCTTGATCTGTGCCTTCCAGATGCATAAGCAGTGACTGTATTTTTAAATTCCTTGTGGATAAGTTTATTAATTCTTTTGATGGTGAACTTGATTCTGGATTTTTCCTGATTGCTGATGGGGATATTCTCAAATTGACGTCTGATGAGATATGATTTAAATGCTTTGATCTATAGTCTTGAACCTCGAAACGATATGGGTTCGAATCCCGGGGCCGCAAAAGATTTTCCGCCCACTCGCCTATTAAGTTAGGGAGTGGACGGGAGGGTATTATCTTATTAACCCGGTGATACACTGGCGGTATTTGCACCGAACACTTGTAGTTTTAAGTTCTCTAAATAGAGCTTCGGCATATTTTTGGCCTCGCTGGGATTCAACCCGCGCCTCGACATTCTGTTGGACGTAATGGTAAAGATCAATGCATTGAACCTCTACGCCAACGTCGAGTTCCAGCAAGAACAGAAGTTATGTTCAATTTATTCAACATGTTATTAACAAAAACGTTTTAAAATAATTTTTAACTACCCTGATAGCCAGCGCTTTCTCAGTAAGCGTTGACTTCCAGCAGTTACGGTTAATTTATACATCAAGTTGGCGGTAATTCTTCACTCAACAACAGTTGTAAGCAAATTGACGGAAATCTATGGCCGCAACTTGAATACAAGTTAGCAATCAAACTTGTAGTTAAATTTCCTTTCAACTTTACTACAATTTGACGGAAATACTTGTACAGCAAGTTTTGACGTCTATTTGGAGAGTAAGTTATAGGTAACTAATAGGTAATCGCTCGCTTTGCCAACTCTTTCCGTCAAGTTTGCTTCAAATCGCGGACGTAGATTGACAGTAAGTTATAGGTAAGGTGGCTATCAGGGTAGTCGTAAAAAAAATTATTGTTCTTTTGATAAGAATAATTATCAGTAAAAAAAAAAAAATCTTTTATTTTTACAAATGCGTTGATAAAGTAGAAATTGACGTGAAAAATTATTTAAGATATTTTTTTTAATATAAAAAAAATTTTTTTGAACTAAAATTTAATCACAAAAAAATTTTCATAAATTAAATAAATTTTTCGAAAAAAATTTTTCAGATCTTCATGCACTGTAAATAACTTTTTTTATTTTTTTAAGTCACTCCTCAAAATATTCGGTAAAACTCGGTAATGCTCGACAAGTTTCACAAAACTAGTGACGCCCTCAACTAGCCGGCTTTCTTATACCAACAGCAACTTATATGTATGTAGTCCACAGTTAACCTGCAAAAACACCTCTAACAGTTCCAGCGTGTTGTATTTAATTAAACGGGATTTTTTAAAATATTTAAGGATTTTTACCATCGCTGATGCGTTTTATGTCTCCAAAATATATTTATTTACATTAAAACCAATAATTCTATCAGTAAATATCAGCTAAAATGGCTGAATATCTAGCTTCTATTTTCGGTACCGAAAAGGACAAGTAAGTTGATTACATAAATAAAAAACCTTCATTTTTATTTATATATACCGTCTACTATTTTTTTTTTTCATTGAAATTTATTTTATACACCTGTCAAATTTTTATTTATTTTTTTTAATTACTAATTTTTTTTCAGAGTAAATTGCTCTTTTTATTTCAAAATCGGAGCATGTCGTCACGGTGATAGATGTTCAAGGATTCACAACAAACCAACTTTTAGCCAGGTAAATAATAAATAATATTTTACACTAACAATAACAATCCAATTATTTATTAAACAATTAATATTCACCCATACTTTTAAACTTCTAAACTTGAAAAATTTTTTTTGCAGACATGCTTACTCCAAAACCTTTACGTCAACCCTCAAAACTCTGCTAAAAGTGCTGACGGTTCTCACTGTGAGTAATTATTTATTAAAATAAATTAAGAAATAATTAATATAGTTATTATAATTACGTATTTATATTCAATTACTGACAATTAAATTATTATGAAAAAAATTATCAGTGAAAAATTTTTAAAACATTTTTTTTTAGTTGTAATTGATTTTTTATTAAAACTGAAAAAAAAAATTGACAGTTGTCAGCTAACAACAGTATTCTATTTATTTATTTATAATTATTAATTAAAATTTCAGTGGTAGCCAATGTCTCCGATGAAGAAATGCAAGAGCATTATGACAATTTCTTCGAAGATGTATTTGTCGAGTGTGAAGACAAATATGGAGAGATTGAAGAAATGAATGTTTGTGATAATCTTGGTGATCACCTTGTTGGAAACGTTTACATTAAATTCCGCCGTGAAGAAGATGCTGAGCGAGCTGTTAATGATTTGAACAATCGTTGGTTCGGTGGACGTCCAGTTTATGCTGAATTATCACCTGTGACTGATTTTCGCGAAGCTTGCTGCAGACAGTATGAAATGGGGTAAATATAATTCAATTAATTCTTATAATTTAACATTTTCATTTTTTGTCCAAATTCTCAAGATTTATAAGTTGTTTAAAATATAATTAATGATGACAACAAAGTTAGCAAACAAAGTTCTAAAAATTTTTAGAATTTTTTATATTGAAAAAATGATTACAAAAAAATTTTAAAAAAATTTAATTTGTAAAAAATTTTTAAAAATTGAAAGTGCAATTTTAAAAAAGTTTGGAAAATCCAAAAGTGCACGCCTCATAACGCTCATTCATTTTTTAAGAAAAAAATTAATTGTGTAATTGATTTAAAAAAAAAAAAAAAAAAAATTATAATTAAGTAATTTCTTACAAAGTATTTTTTATTTTTTTTTTTTAAAATATCAGCGCCCTTTCTTCTTGTCATGCGCACACGCAGTCTAAAAAAATCTAGCTTGATCAAGTAGCGCCATAATTTTCACGTGACAAATAAGGAAAGTTCGTTTAGCTTTGTACGGTTGTATCGTAGTAAATTTTAATAAAAATTCAATTTAAAAAAATATACGTAAGCTAGGCCACTGATATGCAATACGGACCCAGTTCATCGATTTCTTAAAATTAAAAAATTATAATTAAGTAATTACAAAGTTATTTTTTTAATTTTTTTTTTTTTAAAATATCAGCGCCCCTTTTCTTCTTGTCATGCGCACACGCAGTAATTTAAAAAAATATACGTAAGCTAGGCCACTGATATGCAATACGGACCCAGTTCATCGATTTCTTAAACTAATAAAAAAGATCCGGTCTTGAAATATCAATTTGTTCGGGAGTAATCGTTGGTACATCCAAAATGGGGTGACATCCGGACGTCCACGTAAAATTTTTTTCAAAATAGCAACATGAAATGATTTTAGAAAGTAACAGATGGTTTAATTTAAGTGTTTTTTCGGTGTACATCTACTTATATCATTGTATAAGTGTAATATGGTTGTGATAGAGGCATTTAAAGATCACAAAATTGCTTGATCTTAACGAGTCGAGTATAAAGCACAACCTCACGCGCTTCGCGCTATGAGGCGTGCAAAAAAATATTTTTTAGTTCTAATTTAATAAATTAATCACAATCAAAAATGTCGGCTAACTTTGATGTTATCAATTAAATGAAAATCAAGTTAGCCGTCATCTAAAAATTTTAGAATTTTTTTTATTGAAAAAATTAATACAAAAAAATTTTTTTAAAAAATTTCATTTGTAAATAACTTTAAAAACTGTAAGTGCAATTTTTAAAAAATATTTTTTTGGTCTAATTTAATTATTTAAAAAAAAAAAAAACAGAAAATTAAAAACGTCGGCTAACTTTATTATTATATCAATTAATGGTACTGTATTGAACAAACATATAATTTATTAAATTCTCGTAATTAAATTGTAATAAAAAAAATTTTACATGTATTTATTGGTTTTAAAAATTAATCTTAAATTATAAATTAATTATGTAATTATTAATTATTAATTAATTAATTTATTTATTTTATTACAGAGAATGTACCCGATCAGGATTCTGCAACTTCATGCACTTGAAGCCCATCTCCCGCGAGCTGCGCCGATACTTGTACAGCCGCAAGAAGGGAGGAAAACGTTCTCGCAGTCGCTCACGATCACGCGGCCGAGAACGCAAGCACAAGTCGCGGTCCCGCGAACGTCGATCTCGCTCGCGAGACCGTCGGAAGGGTGGTCGCGAAAGTCGCGAAGACAGAGGACGTGATGGTCGCTCAGGAAGATATTGAACATTCTTTTTTATCAATGGGGGTCTTATCGGAAAATTTTATTGTTCCAAAACAGTAACATCGATTTTTTTATAAAACTAATTGTATTCTTATGCTATTATAAATTCAGTAACAAATAATAATAAAAATATCCCGAATTTTTGTGAAATTTTCTTTACATAATTTTTAAAATTAAACGTCATTTACTGATTAATTTTTTTTTGTACATATTAATGTCTTTATATGTTAAAAATTAATTTAAACAATTAATGATGTGGTATATGTACCCAGAATATTCATGGAAATTAATGAATCATGTATTTAACAATTTTATTACAATTAAATTATCACAAAAAATAAATTGATATGTAGAAACTTTAAAAAATGAAAAATGAAATTTTTTTTTTTGATATTTTTTTAGATAACACTAAAGTTAGCCGACATTTTTAATTTTTTGATTATTAAATTAGAACTAAAAAATATTTTTTAAAAATATGACATTAAAGTTAATAGTCATCAGAGAATTCTTTAATTTTTTTTAACAAATAAATTTGTTCCAAAAAATCATTTTTAAAAAATTGCACTTTTTATTTTTTTATATTTCTACATGTCAATTTTTTTTTTAATTTTTTTTGCCATAATTTATTTTTTAACAATAATAATGAAATTAGCCGATATTTTTTATTTTTTTATTTTGCTTAATTTATTAAATTACAACTAAAAATTTTTTTTTAAAAAATTGCACTTATAGTTTTTGAAGTTTTTAACAAATGAAAAAAATTTTTAAATGTCGGCTAACTTAATTTTCTTATTTTTTGGATTAATTATTTTTATTAAATAAAATTAAAAAATTGTCAAGCGACTGCTAACTATGAAAATTAATTTAGCAGATATTTAATAATTTTTCTAATAAATAAATTACTGGATAAAAAATTAAGAAAAAAAAATTAACATTTAAAAAATTTAATAAATTAAAAATGGAATTTTTAAAAAAAAATTTTGCGGAACAAATTTTTTTGTTAATAAATATTAAAAATATTAATTTTATAGAATATTCAAGTATGGCCATCTGAAGCGACGTTAGTAACTATACGCTGTTGCAAGTTGCATCAGCACAACAGCAATTTAGCTTGTGCACAACATGTTGGCATTCAAAAGCATGTGAACACGTGAGAAGTGTTGTCGGAAATTAGTTGCCGCAGTTGTATTTTCCATCAATTGTATAATATCACAATAATGTAAATAAATTCAAACTTACTCTCAGTAAAAAATTAATTTGCTGACAGCTAAACAGCTGATAGTTGATTGTTGATAACTAGTAAATATATATTTCATTACTCTATTGATCAAAATAAACAAATTATAACCTCAAGATGGTTAAGGAACAGTTTCGGGAAACTCATCTTGCTAAAAAAATGTAAGTTTTTTTTTGTGATGATTATTTAATTTTACAATTTTATTTAATTAATTACAAAATTATCACTTCTTAATTTTAGATCTCACATTACATTTGCGATAAACAGTCATCATGACATTGCGAGACAAGCACATGTTAATGTCGTTTGTCATCCACTTTATTCAGAGCAAGATCACACACCTGTGCCGTACAGTGCCTTGGACCCCCGACTGGTAAATAAACATAATTTTTAACTATTTTTTTAATTAATTTAATATTAATTGATAAATTTATTTCAGGGACTTTGTACGAAACAAGGTGAATGTAAAACTTGCAATTTACCATACCTTGATTGCATTGGGCATTTTGGATACATTAATCTTGAGTTTCCAGTTTTTCATTATGGATATTTCAAGTCTATTGTTAATATTCTACAATCTATTTGCAAGGTAATTTATTTTATTTAATTTTTATGAAAATTAATTTAGCAGATATTTAATAATTTTAAAAGTTTTTGTAGCAAATAAATTGTCTCCAAAAAAATTATAAAAAAAAAAATTGACATTTAGAAATTTAAAGAAATAAAAAATGTAATTTTTTGGAACAAATTTGTTTGTTAAAAAAAATTTTTAAATTGTCAGTTAACTCTAGTATCATTTAATTTTACTGTAATCTGTCTTAATTATTTTCTTATTGGTCCTAAAAAAAAAATTATAAGACATTTTTTCCATAAAATTAAATATTGAACTTTTATTCCAAAAATTTTTTTTATACGACCAATATTTCTTCTGTAACATCACAAATTTGATACTACTAATTATTAATTGTAATTTTCAAATTAAAAGAAAAATCTTCGCTACAATTTTTTTTTTTTTTTTTTTTTTTTTTTTTACAGAAATGTTCTCGTGTATTATTAGACGAACAAGCAAAAGCGCAGTATGTTAAGCGCGTATCAAATCCAAATCTTGGTTACTTGGAACGCAAAGCTCTGAGATCACAAATTTTAAAAAAGGTTAAAAAGAAGTCAGTGTGTCCATACTGTGGAGATTTAAATGGTGTCGTAAAAAAAGCAGGTCTGTTAAAAATAGTACACCAAAAATTCCAAAAATCAAAAAAGAGTGACCTCCAGGTGATGGCCAATGAATTAGTTGAATATGAAACGGCAATGCAAAGTAATAAAGAGTTAGAAGGAACACTTAAGACTTCTCATTTGGCTTACATCTTAAATCCGCTTGAGGTAATTATTATTTATTAAATAAATAATTAGTAATTATTAGTAAAAAAAAAAAATAATAAACTTTCATTACTTAGGTGCTAAATTTATTTGAACGCATACCAGTTAATGATGTGCCGTTTTTAATGATGAATCCAAATACCGGTATGCCAAAAGATCTATTAATCACCAGAATACCTGTTCCGCCAATTTGTATCAGGCCTAGTGTAAAGTCTGATTTCAAATCTGGTACAAATGAAGACAACTTAACTATGAGACTGAGTCAGATTGTTTTGCTTAATGATCAAATTAGACAGTCTCGGGAGAGAGGCATGAAGATGTTACAGTACAATGATGTTCTTGAGTTCATTCAAATTCATACTGCTTTTTATATTAACAGTCAAGTCACTGGAATTCCTTTGGATAAACAGGTAAAATTTTATTCACTTTTAAATATTTAAAATTTTTCATACTATTTTAAAAATAATCAAAATCAAAAATTGTCTGAAAAAAAAAAATGATTTTTTAGAATTTTTTTAATCAATAAATTATATCAAGAAAAATTTATTTAAAAAATTATAAATGCAATTTTTAAAAAATAATTTTCTTGGCTTAGTTTATTTTTAAAGAAAAATAAAAAAATTTCCAAGTGTCTGTTGATGTCAGTGTTATTATTTTTCATAAAAAAAAAAAAAAATTTTTTTTTGTCAATAAAAATTTATTTATTTATTCAGATTTAAATGCCTTCAGGCAAAAAGCCAGATGGCAAAAGTATAAAAGAAAATGAATAAAGTAGATGTAAAACCATAAACATGGTCATTATCAATATGATAGATTGTGAGTTATAAATGATTGCATAAATAGAAACACTCGTGGATTTAAGGCATACAGTTTTGTACATATCAGTTTATCCTATGAATTATTTAGAATATTTGCAGACTTTGGTTCCTAGGCCTCTAAGGTCATAAAAGAATTCAAGAAATATAAATAATAAATAAGCCAAAAATTTGTGATAAATTTTTAATAATTTTTAGTTGTTTATCTCTTATTTATTAATTAATAAAAAGTAATTTTTCAGCCAACAAATCCAGGCCGTGGTTTAGTACAAAGATTAAAAGGAAAACAAGGTCGTTTCCGAGGAAATTTATCCGGAAAGCGTGCAAATTTCACCGCTCGTACCGTAATATCACCCGATCCAAACCTTCGAATCGAGCAGGTTGGCATACCAATTCACGTTGCTAAAATATTGACCTACCCCGAGCGAGTTTGTACAGCAAACATCGAAAAGATGCGTCAACTAGTCCTCAACGGCGCTAACAAACACCCTGGCGCCAACCACGTAAAAATAATGAAGAGCAAAGAAGTAACTTCAATATTCTTAGGCTTTGCCAACAGAGCCGAGATTGCTCGGAATTTGAAAATAGGCGACATAGTGGAGCGTCATTTGCGGGACGACGACTTAGTATTGTTCAACCGCCAGCCCTCACTGCACAAGCTGAGTATAATGGCGCACAAAGCAAAAGTTCTCGAGCACCGTACCTTCCGTTTCAACGAATGTGTTTGCAATCCTTACAACGCTGACTTTGACGGTGACGAAATGAACGTTCACTTACCACAGACCGAAGAAGCCCGAGCGGAAGCTTTAGTCCTAATGGGAAACAAGTCTAACTTAGTAACGCCACGAAACGGCGAGCTTTTAATCGCAGCAACGCAAGATTTTTTAACCGGAGGATTTTTGCTCACCCAGAAGGACACTTTTTTGAACAAATCCGAGGCCTGGCAGCTAGCAGCTTGCCTCCTCGCCGGATTCGACTCCAACATGCAGATAGACATGCCAGAGCCGGCTATATTAAAGCCTCGTCCACTCTGGACCGGCAAGCAGATCTTCAGCTTGATTTTACGCCCGAATAAAAGCTGTAAAATTCTGGCTAATTTAAGAACTAAGGGAAAAAATTACACAGATCAAGAAGAACTCTGTGCGAATGATTCATTTGTCGTGATAAGAAACTCCGAGCTGCTAGCTGGTTCTATGGACAAAAACACTCTCGGCTCTGGGTCCAAGCAGAATATTTTCTATGTCTTGCTAAGAGACTGGAGCGAGGACGCAGCTACTACTGCGATGTGGCGACTGTCCAGAATGGCGAGTATTTATTTAATGAATCGCGGGTTCTCAATTGGAATTGGAGATGTCACTCCGGGTCAGAGATTGCTCAAGGCCAAGCAGGACTTGCTGGAGCATGGGTATAAAGTCTGTGAGGATTTGATCAAGCAGATGGAGAGCGGGGAGCTCAAACTCGCGCCTGGATGCTCTATGGAGGAAACTCTGGAGTCTAAGATTCTAAAAGAGCTGTCTGATATTCGAGAGAAGGCTGGCAAAGCTTGCTTGAGGGAGCTGCACCGCAGCAACAGTCCGTTGATCATGACTCTCTCTGGAAGTAAGGGGAGTTACATTAATATTTCACAGATGATTGCTTGCGTGGGGCAGCAAGCTATCAGTGGTCATCGTGTTCCAAATGGGTTTGAAGATCGTGCGCTGCCGCACTTTGATAGACACTCTAAAATCCCCGCGGCTAAAGGATTCGTTTCGAATTCTTTTTACTCAGGGCTCACTCCGACGGAGTTTGTTTTTCACACGATGGGTGGCAGAGAAGGTTTGGTTGATACTGCTGTAAAAACTGCGGAAACTGGGTACATGCAGAGGAGATTGATGAAGAATCTTGAAGACTTGGGCTTGCATTACGATAAAACTGTGAGGAATTCCGCCGGGGGTATTGTACAGTTTGAGTATGGTGGAGATTCTATGGATCCTACTTATATGGAAGGTAAAGACTGTCCGGTTGATTATAAAAGGGTGCTGGATCATGTTAGGGCGAAGGTGCCTGATAAAAATGGAGATGCTTTGTCAGGCTCGGAAGTTGTTAGTGCTGCTTCTTTGTTATTGGACAAAGATGATTTTAAATGCTTGAGTGAGGAATTTAAAAATGAACTCACGGCGTTTCTTACGACGGTCGCGAGGAAAATTTCTATGTTGAGGAAAAAATATCCACCGAGTATTAAAGCTGCTCAGCAGTTGGAGAGAATTACTTTGACGCAAGTTTCGGAGTTTATGTTCACGTGCAAAGAGAAGTTTATGAGGGCGAAAATTGAACCTGGGACTGCGGTTGGGGCGCTGGCTGCGCAGAGTATTGGTGAACCTGGAACTCAGGTAAAAAATTGTTTTATCTTTAGTATTTTATAAATTATTCATTGTTATTATCATGGTTTTTTAATTATAATTGATGATGCTTTAATTAAAAGACATTTAATAATTAAAAAAAAAAATTTTACATAAAATTTGCTATGGAATTTTTTTTTAATATATTAGACTGATTTTTGAAAAATTGAAATAATAAGAATATTTTATAATATTAATTATTAATTATATCGTTAAAAATATCATTATTAGACAAACTACAACGTAATTTATTAATTATTGACATTTTTTAAGATATAAGCTCATCTTGATATTACGCTCATCGAGACCTTTCATTTGAATACCCACATGAATTTTTTTCATATATTTTATATATATGGTGTTTTTCATATTTGTGAAATATATAAAATATATGAAAAATTGATGTGGGTATTCAAATGAAAGGTCTCGATGAGCGTAACATCAAGATGAGCTTATATCTTGATAAATGTCAATAATTAAGAAATGACGTTGTATTTTGTCTACTGATGATATTTTTAACGATATAAGCTCATCCTAGAGTTATACTTATCGAAACCTTTCATTTGAATACCCACACGATTTTTTTCATATATTTTATATATATGATATTTCTCATATTTGTGAAATATATAAAATATATAAAAAATTCAAAAGTAATAAAATATTAACTTTTTTATCATCGATATGTGGCTTAATTTTCAATTTTTTAATTTTGCATAATTATTATTATTATTATTGTTGTTGTTATTGTTTTTATATTAATAATAAATTATTTTTTCCTTAAAGATGACCTTGAAAACTTTCCATTTCGCTGGAGTAGCTTCTATGAACATCACCCAGGGTGTCCCACGTATAAAAGAGATAATAAACGCCAGTTCAAAGATCAGCACCCCAATTATCACTGCTTATCTCACGGAAGATGAAAATGAGGACTTTGCGCGTCGAGTCAAAGGAAGAATTGAAAAAACAACTCTTGGAGAAGTAACAGAGTACTTTGAAGAAGTAATACTACCCGATAGTTGTTTTTTTCTGGTGAAACTCGACATCGGTAGAATAAAACTGCTGATGTTAGAAGTCGACGTCAACTCGATTAAATACTCGCTGGAGACGGCTAAATTGAAAAAGCACTTCAAGGAGGTAAGAGTTCACAGCAGCTCGATATTGACAATCGTCCCAGTTTCTAACGTTAAGCAGAGCATGAGCCACTCGCTGAACATTCTGAAAGAAGCGGTGCCCAAAGTTATCATCAAGGGAATGCCTTCGGTCTCCCGGGCGATCATTCACATTGATGAACAAGCTGTTGAAAGTGGCTCCAATGAAGAAGAGAGGAATGTAACGAAGAAGAAGAAGAAGTTTAAGTTGTTTGTTGAAGGTGACAATCTTCGTGAAGTCATGGCGACTCCAGGTATTTTTAATACCAAAACTACCTCCAATAATACGATGGAGGTGTTCAAAACTCTGGGAATTGAAGCAGCTCGTTCGACTATTATGACGGAAATTAAATTGGTAATGGAGAATCACGGGATGAGTATAGATCGACGGCATTCGATGCTGGTTGCTGATTTGATGACCAGTTATGGAGAAGTCAATGGTATTACTAGACAAGGTTTAGCTAAGATGAAAGAATCTGTTCTTAATTTAGCTTCTGTAAGTATTTTTTTTTTTTTTATTATTTAAGATAAAAGACCTAGTTATTAAAACTTATTAATCTGTTTATTTATTTATCTAATTATCTAATTCTATATAAACAACCCAATAGCCAAAAACTTAAAAACTAAATGCGCTGTACAAGTACTGCATAAAAAAAAATTAAAAAGAAATTTCTAAAGATATTAAAAAAAAAATAAAATTGCAAGTCACTAGGCCAGTGTTAATAACTGTCTTTAATTTTATCTTACTTTTTAATTGTTAATTTTTTTTAAGCTTTCTTCAGTCGTAAAAATTTGAGTTTTGAATTTTTTGTTTTATTCTTTATAATTGTAATTTAATATTTCAATAATTCATTTAATTTTTTAATTAAAATACATTAGATTATTTAAAATAGTTAGATAAATAATGAATAAAATTATTTTTTTTTCAGTTTGAAAGTACAGCGGATCATTTATTCGATGCAGCGTACTACGGTCAGACAGACGTTATCAGTGGAGTTTCCGAGGCAATAATTATGGGAATCCCCGCACCAATAGGCACTGGAATATTTAAATTACTTCATAAAAATGACAAAGAAGAACCTAAAAAACGTGATTTATTATTCAGCGATCCGGAATTCCACAAAACTTCTGTTAATGTGTAATAATTGCATTTAGTTTAATAACTTATGTTATGATTTATACCTATTGCAATTTAATAAAATGTAATATATTTTTCAAATGACTGTCTTAATTATTGATAAAACAATATGTAGTAATTGTGTATATATATATATATGTATCGATATTAATATTAATATTATATTAATTATTTAGCATTTTGACGCAGTGCGTTAATTTAAGGTTGCTATGGCAGCTGACAGTTTGTTTAACCTCTAGCTCATAAATTTATACTCTACAACAGCATAATAAAATTATTTGTCCAACAATTGCACAAAAATTAATTATATAAATTTTAGTTTGGTAATTAATTTAATTTTAATAATGGTAAATCAGCGACAATTTTGGGCTGAAATTCATAAAAATAATCCAAAGTATAAAAAAAAACCCCGAGTTGTTCCAGCGTTTACAATTCAAGCTCTTCAAGTAAATATAAATTAAGAAATTAATTATTAGAACCAAAATTTTTGCCTTAATTTCAAAATAACAATTAATAATTAATGATGGAAATTTTTTCATATTACAGAGTAAATATTAGTCGTATAAAAAAAATTATAAGAGACATTTTTTTTTTTTAATTAAATTTTTCAAAACTTTTTTACTAGACTAATATTTCCGGCAAAAATCTTAGATCTAATTAAAATTAAATAATTGAAGTAATTAAAATAAAAATTTGTAAATTTTTTTAATTAAAATGAATTAAAAAAAAAAATTTCAGGAAAACACAGTTGTAGCAAAACCTCCCAAGTGCGGTCTTTACAAACCAATTCCGCCAAAGCCGTCAAACTTCCGGAAATTTTACGAACGCGGATTGTTTCCAATTTCGATAGAAAATGACTCTTCATCAATAACCTGGAAAGTAAACATAGAAGAGCTGGATTTCCATCATTACTTGCCGATGTTCTTCGACGGATTAACTGAAACCGAGCACCCGTACAAATTTTTGGTCGAACAGGGAATATCGGACATGTTGGAGCACGGTGGTCCCAAAATATTACCGGTCGTGCCACAATTAATTATACCAATTAAAAGTTATAGTCAGATTTGCATGCCCTCAGTGTCTGCTGAATATTTATAATAATAAATATTTATCCACTATTGCAGATGCTTTGAATACCAAAGTTCCGGAGATAATTTGCATGACAATGAGAGCTTTGCAACGGCTGGTCAGATCTGCTGATTGTGTTGGCGAATCTTTGGTTCCTTACTTCAGACAAATTCTTCCAATTCTTAATTTACTCAAGGATAGAAATGGTAGTTCATTTAATTCATTAAAATAATTACAATAATAATTAATTATATTAAAATTTGATGCAGTGAATCTTGGAGAAGGTATTGATTACTCTCAGCAACGTGGAGAAAATCTAGCGGACTTGATTCAAGAGACTTTGGAAGTATTGGAGAGGTACGGTGGCGAAGATGCATTTATAAATATTAAATATATGGTACCTACTTATGAATCTTGTATGATGAATTAATTTTTTATTAATTCTACGGTGTACAAAAAAATTAAATTATTCATTAATTTAATCAGTTTAATTATTTTTAAGTTACACTTTTCCTGCATCTTCTTTAAGTGTCACCGTTCTGTTGAAGACAAGCTAAAAAAAAATAAATTATTTTTATTAATCTGTAAAAAGCGGTATAAATAATAATAATAATAAAAAGTTTAAAAAGTATTTAAAAATTACTAGCAACCTTGCAGTCACTATGTGAATGCCGTGATTTATAAATCATAAATAAATAAAATTTTGTAATGACTTTTGTTAAATTGCACTGTACTTTTTTAACTATTGACATTTTTTAAGATACAAGCTCATCCCGATGTTACACTCATCAAGAGCTTTCATTTGAGTACCCACATGCATTTTGATATATTTTTCATATATACATATATATATAATATATATCAAATATATGAAAAATTGATGTGGGTACTCAAATGAAAGCTCTCGATGAGTGTAACATCAGGATGAGCTTATATCTTAAAAAATGTCAGTAGTTCACAAGATACAAGCTCATTTTTTAATATAATGAGAATTTATAATAATAATTATCAAAATAAATCCTTACTTTTCCCGGTCGAGTATCCGGATCAACCGAAAAGAATCCATTCCTCTCAAACTGAAACTGCGTAAACGGCTTAGCAGCATCAAACCCGGCATCAATATACCCGACAACTTCCCTCTTACTCGGCGAATTAATATCACTAAGAAATCCATTAGGAACTTCATTAACATCCTCGGGATTCTTATGCTTAAACAACTTCTCATACAGCCTAATAGAAGCAAGTTTCGGCTTAGCAACCCAGTGAATAAAAGCCTTAGGTTTATTTTTATCATTAACAGGTTCCTGTCGAACAACCAGCCCAGTAATTTTTCCACTAGGATCCTTTTCAACCTTTTGCAGCGTCAAAACCACTCCAATATACTTCAACCCCACCGATTGCTTGGAAGTGAGTCTTCTGAAGCCTTTCTCCTCTACTTCCCTAAAATCAGCGGCTTCAATATAAACAATTTCATCAAAAGCAATAGAGTGTTGTCCTTTGTCAGGCTCAGAGGGAAAATCAGCGACCTCAATTTTGGTCGGAAGCTGGTCTGTGAAGTTAGCGATGGTCACTTTAATAGGATCGATGACCACCATGTGTCTGGGGGCAGTTAGATTCAAGACATCTCTAACAGCAGCTTCAAGAACCGCTGGCTCAACAATAGCCTGGGCTCCAGAGACTCCCATCTGGGCGCAGAAATTGTTGATAGCTTCTGGAGGGAATCCCCTTCTTCTTAAAGCAGTCAGGGTGAACAATCTTGGATCGTCCCAGTCTGCAACGATGCCTTCGTCAATTAGCTTGGCAATTTTTCGCTTAGACACAACAGTGTAGCTCAAATTCAGCCTTCCGTACTCCCACTGGACTGGACAGTAAAGGTCCAGGACATTGCAGAGCCAATAGTAGGAAGACCTTCTTGTCTGGAACTCTTTGGTGCAAAGAGAGTGAGTGATGTTCTCAATACTGTCGCACAGACAGTGAGTGAAGTCGTAAGTAGGATAAATGCACCATTTGTCTCCAGTGCGGTGGTGAGCCGTGAATTTAATTCTATAAGCCACTGGGTCCTGCTTGCCTTCTTCTAGAGTTACTTTCATCCTCAAGGTAGCTTCTCCTTCATCAAGCAACCCGTTCTTCATGTCCTCGAACAGCTGGAGACTTTCTGCAATAGGTCTCTCGCGCCAAGGACTCGGGGGAGGGTTGAACCCCTTCATCTCCTCACTCTTCTGGTGGCAAACGTACGCATGCCCTTTTTCAATTAGCTTCACTGCTAATTCGTACAATTGCTGGAAGTTGTCTGATGAGTGGGTGATTGCTGCGGGTTGATATCCCAACCACTCTACCATCTCTCGGATCCCTGTGAAGAATTTTTCCTCCTCTTTCTCGGGGTTGGTGTCGTCGTAGCGCAAGTAGCAGATTCCGTTGTGGGCTGCTGCGTAGCCGAAGTTTATGTTTATCGCTTTCGCGTGGCCGATGTGGAGGATTCCGTTTGGTTCTGGGGGAAAGCGGGTTCGGACTTGTCCACCGGTGATTTTAAGATGCTCCGCGAGTAGTTTGTGCGTGTTTGGAGTCACCACGTAGCCGTTTGTTTTGTAGTTTTCTCCAGGCTTGTGGAAGTGCACCTTGGTTTTCATTAGCTCGCTTATTGTCCTTGCAGAGTCGGAATTTTCCTCAGCTGCTTTTGAATCTTGAAAAAAAAAAAAAAAATTGTTAATTTAAAAATGAGTTTTTTTAATTTTTATAAGAATTAAATTTAATTTGAAAATTCTACAAGTAGAAATTTTAGATAATTACAAGTAGGAATTTTTTTTATTTTATAAGAATAAAATTTTTTTTTATAAGATGTCTGCGAATTTTAGTATCATAATTTTAGATATTACTTAAGTTAGCTGAAAATTTTGATTTTTTTTTTTTATTTATTAAATTAGAACTAAAAAATATTTTTTAAAAATTGCACTTAATTAAAGTTACAAATTAAATTTTTCTTTTATTTTTTTTTTTTTGCAATAATTTTAGATGCCAGCTAAATTATTTTTTAATTAATTTTAGTACCTTTATCATTTTTGTCATCTTTTTTTACATTTTTAGCTTTCGCTTTATCAGCGGCTTTAGCTTTTGTCTTTTGATTTTTACCAACTGGAGCTTCGTCTTCAGCAGTCTTGGGTCCAAGAATGTCAATCATCTGGACTCCAATTTCATTTTTTACAGACTCACCGCTCGCCCATTTTAACTCAGCCCTTATTTCTGCCATCAATAAACCTGAATTGAATCGGTACCTAAAATAATTAAAAAATTAATATAATATTAAAATTATCAGACTTAGAATTTTTATAACAAATCAGTTCTTACAAAAAAAATATTTTAAAAAATTCTTAGTTAAAATTTTTTTTAATTTCTACATTTATTTTTTTTATTATATAATTGAATTGTTATAAAAATCTAAAAAATTGTTAGATGTCTCTTAAATTCAGTAATAAAAACTAATACTTGGTAATTATAATTATTAATTATAAACTACATATACCTTTGCTCTTTAATATCATCTAAGTGATTCTTGATAGCTTTCTCAACCGCAGCTTCAACTTGCTCCGGAGTGACAACAACCCCAACACCACAAGCCTTTTCGAACTCGGGAATATTAACATTGTCGCAGATGTTACTCAACAAGTAGGCCAACGCGGCTTCAACCCGCTGGGTAGTATCTAGCTTTTTATTAACAATATACTCAGTTACAAAACCCAGCTTGTCAATTATCTGAGCTTTGATCTTGGAAGCCAAGTGATACAATAAAATTCCTGAGTCTTTATCGAGTTTTCCAAATTTATCAGCCTGTAAATAAATTATTTTTATTTTATTTTATTATTAAAAATAATTGAAAAAAGAAAGTCATTGATTAATAATTTGTTAAAAATTATTAAATAGATACTAAAATAATTTTCATAAATACCTCAGCGATACAAGCGAGTAAGTTCTTAGTAACTTGAGCATTTTTCAACGTTTCCTTGGCTTTCGACTCACTTAATCCAATTTTCTCTCTCAGTAACTCAAGTTCTCCCATTTTTATCGCTACTTATTTTATAAAACAAGATTTTTAATTGAAAAAAATGAATTTTTTACTCCACAAGCTAAAAATAAACAATAAGAGGTTAAGAAAACTTGCTCACGTGTCAAAACACATGGACATTGTTTTGATTTTAAATTTTATCACTTACAATCAAGATTACGTCAATATATACAATTAATTTCCATAATTAATATAATAATTTATTTTAAAAACTCAAAAAATCATTTTTTTAAATTTTTTACTCCAAAATAAAATTTTTTATTATTAAATTAAATTATTTAAATATTAAAAAAATATTTTTTTAAATAAAAATAAAAAAAAATTCTTTTTTAATAATTTTTTTAAAAAAATTGACATTTATAAATAAAAATAAAAATTTTTTACAAAAAAATTTTTTTGAACAAATTTATTTATAATGAAAATTAATTTAACAATTTTTCTAACAAATAAATTATGGAAAAAAAAAAAAAATTGACATTTAGAAAATTAAAAAAAATAAAAAAATCCAATTTTTTTTAAAATAATTTTTTGGAGCAAAAATATTTATTAAAAAAATTATCAAGTGACAGCTAACTTTAATGTCATAATTATTGTGTGTAAATATATATAATTACTTACAAGTATTAGTACATATAATCAGTAATCAGGTGCAAGAACCGGTTTTTTAATTTACCAAGCGGAGAATCCCAAATGTCGTTACACTTGATAATATACCTAACTTAAGAAGCACTAGACTGAGAATGAGAACTGGGTTTGTATTGGGTATCGGGAGTTGGGAGACTGAGTAGTGAGTAAGTGAGTAAATATGTTATGTAGACTGAGACTGAAACTGGGACTGGGCTGCCACTGCCAGTGACTGCTGCTGCTGCTGCTATGTACAAGCTGAAAGCTAAAATCTGAGTAACGCTCTTAGCCTTAGCTCAGAGCTGGGAGCCAGGAGCAGCTGTAAGTCTAGAGCTGAAGTCTAAAGAGGTTGAGTGTTTATAAAACGGCATGGCGGATCGCTGGAGATTGTCCAACTGCTATGCCCATGACTACTGACTAGGATCTCTGGCCAAGTTATAGATGTCGAGTGAAAGTCAATGCTGAAATCTGTAATGTTACAACCTGATCATCAGCTTACTCACTACTAAGTATTAAAACCTACATATTAATTATCAATATATTTATAGTATTTATATCGACATACTGTATTTTAATATGTAATTTAATAAGTGCAACAAAATGTGATTTATATCCATCCACTTCAACTATCAACTATCTATCATCAGCATTAAGTACAATGTCACCAGCTTGTGTTGATAAAACTGTGATAAACATATTTAAAGCATGAATCTCGGTGCGGAATTTTCTAGAGAAAAAAATACGACAATTTGTGCCGAATAACCTTAATTTTAATTATTGGTTCTTTGTGACAACTGTTTTGTTTTATTTTAATCAACTTGTTCTGTTTTGTTGCATATTTTTATTTAAAAATTGTAATTTTTTATTTTTTTTTTTAATTTCTATGAAAATTAAATTAGCAGATATATGATAATTTTTAAAATTTCTGTAACAAATAAATTATGGCAAAAAAATTAACATAGAAATTTTAAAAAATTAAAAATGCGATTTTTTAAAATAATTTGTTTGTTAAAAAAAATTTAATAATGTTTAAGTGACTGCTAATTTTAATGTCATTAATTTAGCAGGTATTTAATGAATTTAAAAATTTTGGTAACAAATAAATTATTGCAAAAAAATAAGCAAAAAAAATTGACTTGAAGAAATCTAAAAAAATTAAAAATGCAATTTTTTTTTTAACTAATTTGTTTGTTAAAAAAAATTTTAAAAGTGTCATAAAATTTTTATATGTCAATTTTTTTTGCCATAGTTTATTTGTTATAAAATTCTCAAATATATTCTAAATTAATTTTTATTATTACTTGTCATCAAAGTTAGCAGTCACTTTATAATTTTTTTTAATAAAAAAAAATTACATTTCTTCATTTTTTAAAATTTTTACAAGTCAATTTTTTGTTGCCATACTTTATTTGTTATAAAATTTTAAAATATGTGCTAAATTAATTTTCATAATTACATCTCATTAAAATTAGCAATTACTTGGCAATTTTTTAATTTTATTTAATAAAAAATTGCATTTTTTTCATTTTTAAAATGGCATTTTTTAATTTCTTAAAATTGCATTTTTTAATTTTTTAAAATTTCTACATATCAATTTTTTTTGCCATAATTTATTTGTTATAAAATTCTAAGATATATTCTAAATTAATTTTCATAATGACATGTTATTAATTAAAATTAGCAATTACATGGCAATTTTTTAATTTTATTTAATAAAAAAATTGCATTTTTTTAATTTTTTTAAAATTTCATGTCAATTTTTTTGCCATAATTTATTTGTTATAAAATTATTAAATATAAGTTAAATTAATTTTCATATTTTATTTTTTTTTTCCACTAGATTGTTGTTTATTTATTAATTAATTGGCGTAAAATAAGTAAATATGGCCCCATTGGACTGGAACGGTTCCTGCCGCTTGTGCTCAGAAAAAAAAACCGAAATGTTCGAGATATTCGGTGAAGAAGGTATTCGCAGACGAGTTGCTCAGAAATTGCGCGTTTGCTTACCTGTAATGGTATACAAAAGTGACCCGCTTCCCAAGAAAATTTGTCAGTTCTGCGCTGCTAGGCTTGATGATGCCTACGAATTCAGAGAGTACTGCCTGAGTGTTTACAAGAATATGCATTTTAAATTGCTGGCTAGCAAGAATCTCACTGCGGTCAAGATGTTCCTGGATGCTATGTCCGCTTCTCCAGATCCTTGCCAGGTAATTTTTTTTTTACTTCACTTATATCATATAAATAAATAAATAAATAAATAAATAAATTATTAATTATAAATTGTTTGAGTTTAGGTCAGGCTCTGCATGATAAAGCAACGCGCTCCACCGCCGCTAGTCCCATTGCCGGCAAAATTCATTCCAGTGAAGGAAAAAGAAGTGGAACCCATGGTGGAGCTGCCCTGTGAAGTTCAGATAAAAGAAGAACCAGTTGAAGCTGATCTAGATAAACTGGATTTTGAATCTGGGGTTGGAGACAGTGACCACAGCTTGGCTGACGCGAGCACTGTTGGAGAAAATGGATGCCTTGATGAAAAGCAGACTAGTATTTTGGAGCGGGTGCTCAAAGGGGACCTGACTGTTAATGATTGCAAGGATGTGTCACCCAAGAGTAACTCTCAGTTATGTTGCTCGATGTGTAATAGTTATTGCAAGTAAGTTTAATTAATTATTTATTGAAAATATGTAGAAATAAAAATTTCAATTTAAATGTAGGAAAAAAACAACAAATCAGATAAGAAAGCAGAATTAATTTAATTGCATATTATAATTAAACATTAATTATTGTGGAAATTTTTTTATTTGAATGATTAATAACGACTAATTAAATTAGTATTATAAAAAAATACATTAATGTTAGCAGTAGCTTGATTATTTTTTTAATTTATTTTAATATTAATAATTTAATAAATAAATTTGTTAAAAAAAAAATTTTTTTTTTAAATTGCATTTTCAATTTTTGTTAATTTCTAAATTTCAATTTTTTTTTGCCATAATTTATTTGTTACAAAAATTTTAAAAATATGCTAAAATAATTTTCATTTATAAAAATACCAAAAAATTTTTTTATATTTGGAGTAAATTTAAATCTTGAAAATTGAATAGAAAAATAAATGATTTGATTTTTTTTTTAGGACCAAAGAGAGTTTAATAAAGCACATGGAATTTGAATGTCCTAAAAAACACGAATGTGGAAAATGTTTAATAATATTCAGGACTTTTGATGAATTAACACGACACGAAGGTATTTATTACAAAAATTGCTTTAATATTTTAATATTATTGAATTAATAATATAAGGATTAATAATAAATAAAATTTTTTTTATAGAATCGTGTCACAGACATAAAAATGAAATCAAAGCGGAACCCTTTCAGAAAATTCATGACTTGATGCAGAACCACTTAAATTTTGACGCAGTGAAACGAGAACCGATTGATGGAATTAAAAGTCTTGTTTGTCCTACGTGTGGAAAGGTATTATTATTAATTTGATAAGGTTTTATTTTTTAATAATTTAATAAAGAATTAATGAACAATTTTTTTTTAATTGTAGATTTGTACTCAGCAAAGCGCATTGTCGAACCATATGCGGACACACGAACCGAAGAAACACAAATGTGATATCTGTGGGAGAACCTTTGGTTTATTTATAAGATTAGCAGCTCATAAACTAAGTGAGCATAATCAGCAACCACCTATGAAACCGGAAATTAGTACTATCGAGCAAGAAGAAGCTCTGAATGATGAGAGAGAGGCGAGAGAAAGAGAAGTTAGAGCTAAAGATCGCTGTCGAACTTTTTCTGAGGTATTTTTTTTTTTTACTTATTTATTTTAATTTATTTAATTAATTTATTTATTTTTATTTATTTAATTACTTTTTTTTTTTTAGTTTTTATAGAAAAAAATTTTTTATAAATTAGAAATTTGTTTTTTTAGACTTTGGATAAGGATGAACTTGATGAAGAAAGACCAGCAAAGCGTACGTCATTGAGTACAAATGTTAATAAAAATGTCGCGCGGTGTGGAATTTGTCAACAATGGTTCAATGATCATACGACAATGCTGAATCATCTTCAAACACACTCGGACAATTTAAACATTAAGAATTTTAATTGCAGTAGTTGCAAAAAAACTTTCAGAGAAAAATGGCAATTACAAAGGCATGAGGTAGTAATAAATTAAATTCTTATTATTTCTTTTTTAATTTGTAAATAATTATTTATATACAATAATTTATAAATGATTATTTATTTATTCATTTTTTTATTTTAGTTATCTCATAAACGTGCTAAGGTCGTCACCTATGACTGTTCAGTCTGCAACAAACCATTCCCAGAAAAATCCCAACTGGAGAATCATGAAAAAATTCATGTAGTAGATAGAACATATCGCTGCGCGAAGTGTGATAAAATTTTCTTTAAAGAACTTTCACTTATTACTCATCAGTGTGCCAGAGTGCCTCAGTTTGGAAAGAAGAATTCGCCTAGTAAATTACCCGCGACCAAGGAGTCTTCATCAACTGCTCCAACAATCTCACCCGGTAACCAAATTAAGAAATTTAAATGTCCTAAGTGTTCGGCGACCTTTGATACCTCGCAGTTGAGAAATTTACATATCAGAATACACATCGAGCCTAAGGTATATATAATTTTAAATAAATTAATATGGTTAAATATTTTATTTGTTTATTATTTTTTAACGTTATTTAATTATATTAAATTTTTATTTTTAGGTGCAAAATACTGATGATGTAAAATCGATGCCTAAATTGAAACCACAGTCCTCTTTTTCAGAGCCTGATGACAAGCCTGAAGAACAAAATTACACTGTGCCATTAAAGAGAACACTTATTAGAACTTCTGGAGGGTAAAAATTTTGTCATTTTGTCATTTTATCAGCAATTTATTAAATTAAAATAGTTATTTAATTAACTATTTAGTTATTAACTACTTGGTTAAGAAATTAAAATTAATTAATTAATTCTTATACAGATACCGCTGTGGAGTTTGTCAATCACCGTTCGTCCTACGAGACTTGGCAGTAGCTCACCTGAGATCAGCGCATCCGATGATGCCTTACCAGTGTCCTTACTGCAAGCAACGTTTCACGACTCAGTACGAATTCAGTCACCACATTAAAACAAGTCATCCCAATGAATCGGAGTGATTTGTAACGAAACTCAGGAAAATAGTAACTTTAATAATTAAAAAAAGACTCTTTTTTTATTTCAAAGTCAATTTTTTTATTTACTACCGATAAATTTGTTGATCAAATTATTTATTGAAGTTTAAAGATCTCAAGTTTTATTTTTATCGTTTATGATTTAACAGCAGGTTGTTACTAGCAGATTAATTGTCAACAAAAATCGAGTGTTCGAGGAAGAACATTTATTGAAGATTATATATTTTTGATAATTCTAACAAATTAAAAAAATTTTTTTTAAAATTAAGAATTAAAATTCGGAAAAAAATTTTATGATATTCAAGATGAAATTTAATTCCAATGTTAGCTTATAATTTATTGATTATTAAATATTTAATTAATTTCATACAAAAAAATTTGTAATTTAAATATTACTTACTCAATTTAATGTTGACGATAAAGACTTGATGTATTTTCATTCCATTTTTAATGTTAATAATTGTCAAAAAAAAAAAAAAAAAAATAAAATGTATTTATTAATACGTTACAATAAATAATATATAATTTTTTTTGTAAGTTATACATATATTTTTTTTTTATAATAATTAAATCGGAAGACATTTATTAATTTTTTAATTTTTATTACAAAAAAATTATTAAAAAAAAGTATTTTTTTTAAATTTGCACTTTTAATTTTTTTTTTAAATTTTAGATCTAGAATTTTGATTAATTAATTAATCATAATTTTATTAAATTAATTAGTTAAAATTTAATGATACTAAAGTTAGCCGACATTTTTAATTTTTTGATTTTTTTTTTAAATTAAATTAGAAAAAAAAAATATTTTTAAAAAATTGCACTTACAGTTTTTAAAGTATTTTACAAGTGAAATTTTTTTTTTATTTTTTTTGTAATCATTTAAGTTACTAACTTAATTTTCATTAAAATTTAATTAAATTAATTAATCAAAATTTAAATTTAAATTTTTGGCGCTCATTTAAAAGAAGCGCGCATGCGCGTAAGATTTAAACGTATCAGCTGGAGAGAGGAGAAAAAACAAAAACACGGACAGCAACAGTATTTGCGTCTTCAATCTCATATATATACAGCCAGCGGCAGCAAAGCTAATAAAAAAAAGTAAAAAAAAAAATCACGTGTACATATGCTTGAAATGTTGTTACTGTGCGCGTAATTGAGTGTGTGGGTGCTAACAGCTGCCCCGTGTGTCGCAGGTTGCTGCAAAATGTTTACGTTTTCGTGTTCATGCAGAAAGACCATTTCCAGCTACTTTATATTTGTACGTTTCTCTGAGATTTTAAAATACTCAACACTCGGCCACTGAACCATGCAGGCTTCAATTATTCAAATTTCATGACACTAAATTCAATTAAATTACTCCGACTATTTACAAGTAAGTTTTATTACTTCAGCGTACCTAGCAACAATACAGACCTAAAGTACTTACTGAGTGAAGAGAAAAAAAAAATAAAAAAAGTTTAAAGAAGAAATAACAGACATAAATATATTTAAATAAAAATAAAAATAAAAATGGGTGGTTATGTGAGTAAAATAGCATCAATGTCAAACTTTGCTGTTAATACTGTTTATCGTGGACGAAAGCGAAAATGCATTGAGGAAGATGACTGTGACTCAGACTCGGAATTTATTGATAGAACTCTTCAGACTCCTAAAAAGTAAGTATTTTTATACAGACTATTTATATATTTTTATTTCACTGAAATTAAAAGACATTTTTTAATTTTTATAACAAAAAAATTTCATGACATTAAAGTTAACAGTCACTAGAGAATTTTTTAAAATTTTTACGTCAATTTTTTTTTGGTCATAATTTATTTGTTAAAAAAAAATTATTAAATATCCGCTAGATCTATTATCATAAAAATTTGACGTATAAATTTAGAAAAAAATTACAAGTGCAAATTTTCAAGAGTATTTTTTTTTTTATAAAAATTAATGATACTTAAATTAAAAGTCATCTGATAATTTTTAGAAATTTTTTAATTAATAAATTATAGCAAGAAGTTTATTTTAAAAATTTCATCTTTGAAAACTAAAAAATTATAAATTTTTTTATTTATTTATTATTATTATTATATGTTTCCTTGAAATTTCTTATTTTATAATAATAATTTAATTATTATAAAAATCCTGTCAGATGTCTATCAAATTCAGTATCATAATTATTCAACAAAGTAATCTATTCAATTATTAGCATGTCCGTTATCACCGAGTTCACTCCCCTAATTAAATCCATGTGTGCTAATAATCATACATATATTTATGTTTGTATTTTTAGATCATTCATGCCAGCGAAATAATCGATTATTTAATTACCAAGTACATGTGTAACAGTTGTTTAAATATTATATTATTTTATCTGAAAAATGTTTATTATATAACACAAAACAATAAGTTTTATTAATTTAAATTCATGGCTATCGACAGGATGAGACATTTCTTTTTTTAACAGATGATGTCATAACATAGGTTTATATGTATGCTTGTATTGTTCTATTCATGTACCTTTAAAAAATATCCATGTTTTTTACTACCGATAAAAGTTTAAAAATTTCCTAGATAATATTTGCTTTATATTTTTTATTACGCTATCTATATTTACACTTGTTATTGCCGTCTGTATTTTTCTGATGATAAGAAATTTTTTTTATGTGACAATAATAACAATAATATTAAAAAAAAAATTTTTTTTTACAGAAGAAAGTTGCTAACAACTGCACAGTATATTTATAAGACATTATTTCAAGAAGAAAAAGGAAGTGACATAACTGTTTACATGCTAGGAAGACCATGGCGATTGCACAAAGTTTACATAAGCCAGGTAATTTATTATAAATTATTAATTTAAAATTTTACTTTTTAAATTTTTATTTATTTAAATAATAATAATTAGCAATATAATTTTGCTTTATAAAATTATGACTTTTGTTAAATTGAACTGTACTTTCTTAAATATTGAGATGTTTTTAAAGATATAAACTCATTCCGATGTTACACTCATCAAGAGCTTTCATTTGAGTACTCACATGCATTTTTATATATTTTTTTTCATATATTCATATATATAATATATATAAATATATGAAAAATTGATGTGGGTACTCAAATGAAAGGTCTCGATGAGTGTAACATCGGGATGAGCTTATATTTTTAAAAATATCAATAGTTCACAAGATACAAGGTAGTTTCTTAATTATATTAAATTGCACTGACCCACATGCATTTTGATATATTTTATATATTCATATATATAATATATATAATATATAGAAAATTGATGTGGGTACTCAAATGAAAGCTCTTGATGAGTGTAACATCGGGATGAGCTTATATTTTTAAAAATATCAATAGTTCACAAGATACAAGGTAGTTTCTTAATTATATTAAATTGCACTGTACTTTCTTAAATATTGACCTTTTTAAAGATATAAGCTCATCCCGATGTTACACTCATTAAGAGCTTTCATTCGAGTACCCACATGCACTTTTATATATTTTTTATATATAAATATATATAATATATATAAATATATGAAAAATTGATGTGGGTACTCAAATGAAAGGTCTCGATGAGAGTAACATCGGGATGAGCTTATTTCTTAAAAAATGTCAATAGTTCACAAGATACAGAGTCATTTCTTAATTATGCATCTAGAGATAGATCATTTTCGAATGCAGCCTAAATACTTATCACAATAAATTGACTATCGGTAAGAATGATATTGAACCTTGAAAATGCACAAATTCAAATCGAGACCTTTGCAATGTCATTAAATTTTACTAAAAAAAAATTGATTTTATCATACGACTATCTTGGACAAAAAATTATTCTTATTCTCTTTATAATAATAATAATAATAGTTATTAAAATTTTTTTCAGAGCCCTTATTTTGCAAGTATGTTCTCTGGATCCTGGAAAGAAACAAATCAAAAATTTGTCCCAGTTGAAATCACAGACTCAAATATTTCTATAGACTGTAAGAATATAAATTTTAAGAATTGAGTAAAATAGAGTAATAATAATTGAAAAAAGAGAGCGCATCTTTTACTAAGTATTAAAAAGTGAAAGTTTTTTTGTTGTATAGATTCACACGTTCCGCTGTGATTGACCTACTTATCTAAATTTAGAAACTGCCTGCCTTTTACGGCAGTGCATCAACAAGCTATGGATATTTATTTTTATTATTTTTACTCTATTTAATTTTCTCCATTAGTATTTCATTAATTGTATCGATTAATTGGAATTATTTGACTCTAATTTAATCTGGGTCACGGTTTAAAAAAAAATAATTTATTTTCCAGCATTGTCGATAGTACTAGGGTCGTTTTACCAAGACGAAGTGAGTATTGAGCCTAAAAATGTTATCTCAATACTCGCGACATCGACACTATTTCAGCTTCAAGGCTTGATAGATCAATGCACGGAGATAATGATAGAAACAACAAACATCAAAACAGTTGTACCTTACTACAACGCGGCGGTGTCTTATGGAGTGCCTACTGTTAAAGCGGCCGCGAAACGCTGGTTAGAAGTTAACTTACTGGGTTATGGGTCAAGGTATCCGTCGTTTTTGAAGGAAATAACGCCCGAGTTGATGGTGGAACTGATTAAGAGCTCTGAACTTGTCGCTATACAGACTGAATTTTGTATATATATGATGTTACGTGTATGGTAATTTATAAATATTCAATTATATACACTTTTAGAATTAGAATTATTTATAGCGAGCTTATATTTAAATATTTTAAATTTACGGATTATGAATGAACAATTAATAATTAATAGTATCAAATTTTTGATGTTATGCCGGAAATATTGGTCGTATAAAAAAATTTTTTAAATATAAGTTGGTCAACATTTAATTTTATCGAAAAAATGTCTCAATTTCTTCTTTGAACCAATAAAAAAGCCGTAATTTAAAAATTAATATTTTTATAGTTAGCAAAAATTTGAATCATTTATTATAAACCTTAGTTTTGGAATTACGGTTTTTTTATTAGTTGTCAGAAAAAATTATACATTTTTCTTAGATAATTAAATGCTGAACAAATTTTATTCAAAAAAATTTTTTATACGACCAATTTGTTTGGTTTAGTATCTAAAATTTAACTCCATTTATTTTGAAATTTTGGCCTTAATAATCACACTGATAATCAGAAAAAATAGACCCGCAACAAAACAAGCAGCACCAGAATGATCGCTTCATTTTTTGTTACAAAAAAAAATATTATGATTATTATAATTTTTATTTTATAATAATTTTAATGAAACAATATGAATTTTTAATAACTTTAAAACTTTTTCTGGATCTATTTTTTCCGGGATTCAATCATACTATACATGATTTGGGTACTTTTTAAATAAATTTAAAAAATAATAGTGCTATCCCAGGATCAATTTTTTTTATTTTTATTTTCACTTAAAAAATATAAATTTTTATTGAAATTTCTTAAAGAATTTCTTCTTAAGTTGATTTTATAATAATAATTTAATTGTTAAAAAACTTATTTTATCATATAAATACACCGGAGAAAAAGTTTTCTTTATTTTTTTAGTTATATGAATAAAATAATTGATTTAATTATTTTTTTTTTAATTTAACAGGCTGTTTATTCACATGCAAAATAAAGAAGACACCGAAGTGGACGAGTACTTTAAAAAACACACGTGGACAAAGGCACTATTTGAAACCGCAGAGGGAAAAGAATTCGCCGAGCCATTCAGAGCTCTTAGAATGAAATACCTATTGCTGCACGATCAAGATGTTAAAATATTGAACAGCGATAATTTGATACCGGCTGAATGGCTCCACGATGCTTACAAGGAACAGTGGCTGCATTTGCTGCGTATTGACGCAGACAAAGACGCTGACTGTGGGTGAGTTATTCAAGTGATTTATTTATCCTCCGTGACCAGTCATATGATGTAACTTTTATCCTTTGCCCTATCTCAGATTACTCGACAACGTCCTCAGTATTTCGGCCCTGTATCCATTTCAAGCGATTGTCTTTCGGTATCAAATCTTCTTAGAATTTATTCAGCTTCTGTGAGACTGATAGGCTATTTTTTTGGCTCTGTTTTAGGCCGAAGCAAATGAACGAAGAAGAGTTTGCCCAAGAGTGCTTCAGGTGTGGCAGGTGCATAGAAAAGCCTGGGGAACATATTTGGAGGTGGACGGCCTTTCAATTTGGGCTTGATTTAGTCGTTTATCTTGATACCTCCTCGCTGGGGATAAGACGGAATAATCGGACGGATGCTAATCATATTAGTGCCAATCATAGTAAACGAAATATTATTATTAGGTAAGAGTTGTTGGTAATATTTATTTAAATAATTTTTATAATTAGTTTGTTCTATAAAAAAAAATTTAATAAACAAATTAGTTAAAAAAATTTTTTTTGACTCAACTTAAAATTATTTTAAATGTCAAGATTATTAAATTGAATTATTAGTTAATTAGATCATTAAATTAAATTATTAGGAAATAAAAAATTTTTAAATGTGAAAATGAGTCATGAGTCGTGCAAAATATTAATGAATTTTTTTTTTAAATAATTTTATTGCTATAAAAATTAAAAAAATTTACGTCTCTTTTACTTAAAAAAAAAATGTTTTTTAATTTTTAAGCTTAAATTATTTTCATAAATAAATTAGCAAAAAAAAAAAATTTTTCTATACACCCTTTTGAAATTTATCAAGCGATACTGTAATGTAATGAAATATGTCAAACTAGAAGCAATGTAATTTCTAAACTAACTACTTTGAAACTAAACTTCCCTGAGTTAATTAAAGCTTTTCAACCCTTAATCATGTCTATTCAATTACCAAGCAAGAGTAATGTCCAATCAGAAATGAAAAGGGTTAATGAGTTTCCGGAATTTTAGTTTCAATAAAAAGTTTTACACTTATATAATTATAAGCATTTAATTATTTAATAATTTTTTTTTTTTTAGGGTATGTTTATTTTCATTAAATGAACAGAGACAAATAAAACATTATCAAAATTCAGGAGTATTAAGACTAACGCTACACAAAAATGAAGAGGTATTATATTTTTTAATAAATAAGTAGTATGTTACACATCTACATTTTCATGTTAAATATTAAATATTAATTATTAATTATTTTATAGAAACAAGTGATGTCGTTAGATAAACAATTGACTTATCCATTGTATATATCAGTGAACATGCAAGTGGTTACGCCTTTCACAAAATCAGAAGAAGAAGAAAAACCGAGTGGTATTGCCTCGCTCAAAACAACGTAGTTTAAAACTAATCAAAATTAATGAGAATAATTTTAGCGTACTTTCAATCTAGTCTCAACAGTCTCAAAATGGACAGCTAATTAAATTAGAAGTTTCAAGAGTAAAACTTAATTTGTAACCGAAGGCAAGAAAGAGAATCAATTATTAAAATTATTTATTTATATTATTAATCAGTAATTTTAATATTTTTTATTAGTATTCTATTTAGAGTAATCTGAATATTCTTGGTAGATTTCTAGTCTCGATGTAAATTAAATCGTTAGTTATAATTACGCCTTCATTTAATTATATATTTAATTAGCAATGCAATTTTCAAGGTATAAGATGTTCAATATTATTATTGAATTATTTTTTAATTACGGCTGATTTGAGACTCGCCATAAAAGTATAAATTACTGAGTTACTTTAAGTTTAATCACTTACTATTTAATTAGGTATCAATTTTTTTTTTTTTAATTGAAAAAAAAATTTTTTTTTTTTCGGAGTTTTTTTTTTAGTTTCAATAAGTCGTAATTAAAATTAAAGTGCCATAAAAAAATTAAATAATTATTTTATCAAAAGTATTACGACTTAAAAAATTAACTTAGTGATTTAACTTGAAGTAATTTTATAAAAAAAAAAAAACGAATTAAAAAAAAAACATTCCAATAAAATTGACAGAAAAAAATATTTTGATACAATTCTAAAAAGCCTTAAAGTGTACGTATTTTTATTCAATCATTAAGAAGGTGCCTTTATAAATTATAAATAGACAAGCTATTTATATTGAATAATAATAATTATAAAAAAAAATTTTTTCTTACACTTATATCAACTATGGCTTTTTTATGGATTTTGATACGCTCTTTACTTACATTTTTTTATAATACGTATTATTGCGGTGCATAAGTACATTTGAGATAATTATCTTCAAGACATTTATTAAAAAAAAAAAAAAAATATAGTAAATATTATAACAGGATAACGTTAAAAATTAAATAAATATATATTTTAGTTTATAAATATTAAATTTAAAATTTTCAGCAATTAACTTACAGCAGTTCGCTAAATTTGTAAAACAAATTTAAAATTAATGTTAAAATTAAATAAAACAGTAAAAAAATTTTTATATTAAAATTAAATCATTTAATATAAATACATTTTTTAATTAGGAAAAATAAATTAGACAGTTAATTATAATCATTCAACATTTTATTTAATTAATCATTCCTACACAAGATGTTGTCTTCTGTGTTTTATTTTATACAACTTTATAATTGTCATTACAAATAATCTTCGATAAATTATTGACATTCTTTTGATACGCCAAAAAAGAAAAAAAAAATTCATATTGACTAATTTGATGTACATACATTATGAATAATGATATTTTTTATTAATTAGTATTACAATACTTTAAAATTCGGCTCAGTCGTTTAAAAAATTTTACAAAATATTTTTCCCCAATTTTTTTTTCTTCTTCAAAATTTTGAATCAAGTGAAAATAAAATATAATTTTTATGATTATCTAACTCGATATGTTTTTTAAGCCATCAAAAAAGTATCAATAGAATGCCACTGAATTGTTGATTGATTTAAATCGAAGAAATATCAACAGTTCTAAATCGTACTTAACTAATTTACAATAAAATGATATCTTTATTTTAATTTCTTTTTTTTTTTTTATATTATCTAAGTCTTACAGACTAAATTTTAAGGCATATGCGACTGTGTCGACGAGAGAGCAATTAGTTATTTCATTTTTGTAACAAAAAATTCGATGAAAATTTTTGGCATGATTTTGAGCTGTTTTTAATTTGTTCATTAATTATATATAATGAAAAAAATTTTTAGGCCGTCAATAAATGTGATAAAGTCCTACTTTATCACATCTATTGCCGGCAAAAATTATTTTAAGTAATTAGCGTATTAGTTGACTGGATTTGACGCTTCAAGTGCGAGAGCGCTTTGATTAGAATCCATCTAGCGGACGCTTTGGAACTAAATTTATTAAAATTATTTAAAAGCTCTTATTTAATGAAATTAATTTAAAACAATTTTTTTTTTATTAAAAAACAAACTTTTTTTTTAAAAAAAAGAATGAATTTTTTTTTTTTTTAAAACAATCAATTTTTTTTTATTAAAAAAAAATCTCGCCGATGCAGTCACGTCGTTTTAAGGCTTCTCAAAAAGAGACAACCTGACCTAATTTAGCTGATATTTTTAAGCAAACATCTATGTACACCGTAACAATTAATTTTAATAATAATTATTTATTAAATGCATAATTTAATATTTCGTAAAATTCATTTCTGTTATCACTTTTTTTTTTTAATTCTTATTTTATCACTTTCAATTTATTTTTTAATCCATTTAAATTTATAATTTCAAATTTTTTAAAAATAATTTTTTTTTAATAATTAACAAAGAAAAAAATTTAAAAAATTAAAGAAATTTAAAAATATTTATTTATTATAAAAATTAATGGACTAAATAATTTACCGACTTAGATCTCAAAAGCTTCCAAATATTTGAAAAAATTAATTTCTCTTTTTATTTCTAAAATGGATAAACTCTAATTTAAATCGCCTAAAAATTTCATTCATTGCTCTCATTAATTATTGCAGGTAGACAATATTTAAATTGCTGAGGTACGACGTTAGCTCAAAAACTATTCAACATTAATAATAATAATAATTGGACGAACAATAAAAGGACGTTGGTGTTTTAAATCTTATAAACATTTCTTCACTCTTTTCTGTATTTATATACTTCTTTAAAATAATTCTAATTAATTTAACTCACTCGGGCTACCATTGGTCTAATTGAATCAGCATTGACTAGACTCTCATAAAATATTGCGACAAAGCTTTTATTTTATTTACCTTTCAGTAAATTGTATAATAATAGAAACATACTCGGGTTCTATTAATACGCTCTTACGCTCTTTTGTATCTTCTTTGAAGTAATCGGCAGTTTTTTTTATTTTAAACTGAACAGACGCGGAATCCGTCTAATTATTGTTAAATTTTTTTTATTTGTATCAAATAAATTTTACTTTGAAGGAAAAATTTTTTCAAAAGACCGGAAATGTTTTAGCGCAACAAAAAATTTATTAAACTAAAATTTTTGAGGTCTGCAAAAATTTTACATCAGACTAGAGAATTTTTTTTTCAGTCAAAAAAAATTAGTTTTTTTTTTATACTGATAAAAAAAATTTATTAGATTTAAAAAAAAATTTTTAAACAAAAAAATAAATTTTACTTAATTTAAAAATTATTTTTTCCTAATAAAAAATAATAAAATTATTTTTCTGTGTTCAAAAAAATTTTTTTTAAATCTAGTAAATTTTTTTATCAATTTATGGAAGTTTTAGCTTAATTTTATTTGGATTAAAAACGTCGCCAAACCTTAATGCGATGTTCTTTAATCGAGTCAGATCAATTTAATTCTTCACAATCAGTTATATTGTTATTATATCAAATAACACAAACTTTGATCAACGAAATCAAAGAGACTAGTCACTTAAGGTAAAATTGACATGTATTTCTAATTATTTATATTTATTTAGTACGTATTAATCTTTGATTTTCATTTAACCGGCTTCATTTAGTTAAAATCTTTAAATTCCATAACATTAATCATCAATTCACGATTTGATATGACGTATGACAATTATTGTGTTCAAAAATACCTGATATACATACATTTAATGTATATACGTAAAAACGCGCCTGTTCTGGTCATAAAAACATTCATTTACTTAACAGCTAGTTTAATTAATTAATTAAATATTTATTTATTTTTTTATCGTGTTTTTTTTTAATAATTTTGCAAGGGCATATTTTAAAAATTACATACTGAAGAAATTAAAATTTTTAAGATTTCAATTTTTTACAATGAATTTTTTATTTTTTATTAATAGTTAATAAAAAAATATTTTTATAAATAAAAAAATTAAAAATTTGGAACAATAAAATTTAGACTTATTATAAATTTTTACAAAAAAATTGAATAATAAAAATCTAAAAGAAGAAGAAATAGTTTAAGTATAATGTATTTTTTTATTTTAAGAAAATATATTTTGAAGACTTAGACAATTGTTTTAAAAATATTTTTTTTTTGGTAATTTTAAAACACACGATAACAATAATTAATATTTATTTAATTAATTAAAGTATTATATTGATTATTGAAAATATTTATTGAGTTTTTATCATCGGGACGGTTTTTTTAATCAGTTGTTAAAATATAGACAATACTAAAAATTGATAGTAATAATCCAAAAGTGGGTGTTGCGTAATTAGAGCTGTTACAAAGATCAGTAGTACATGAGCAGTAATACGCCATTACATCGTGAGTACCAGTTCTTCTTACGCAATCAGCGTCATCTTTTACGTCGGTTATGAAGCCGCATCCTCTTACTACCCTTACTTTTCCGTAAACTGTATTAATATTTAAAAAAAAAACTTATTAGCTCACAAATACACGGAAAGAACAAGATGACACTGGATACCATCTCAGATTATACTCAGTGACATCTGAGGCGAAAAAAAATTCAGATGGTAACTAGTATAATCCAGATTATGCTGAATACTATCTGGATTATACTCATTGTTATCTGGATTATACTAGCTACTATCTGAAATTTTTTTTCACTCAGTATAATCTGGGATTATATCCAGTATAATCTTGTTCTTTCCGTGTATGCGCTCAAAAAATTATTAATTTAATTTAAAAAAAAATTCTTGAACAAAAAAAATAAAATTTTTACACAAATTTCTCAGTTTAAAAATTTTTTTACTTAATTTATTCAAAACATTTTTTTTTTTAATCAAATTTACTTTTTTTTACAGTGCGCATGCATAGAAAAATATATATGTAAAAAATCTATGCACATATTTAATATATATGTTTGCAAAAATAAATATGCAGCAATTTTATTTGCGGAATGTATAAAATATAAGAGGAAATAGAAGTTACAATTTTTTTTATGCAAAAAAAATATCAATATATATTTTTCTATGTTGGAATTTTTTTGATAAAATTTTAACTATTTATTTTTAGAGTTTTATTGTGACATAATTATTCAAAACTTCCTTATTATATTTGAACATATGTAAAATTTGAGAAGAAAAGTTTATTTGAAAACTCCGCTTTAAGCATCTGAATAAATAAATTTTATTTCTCTGTTTTATTGTACTCGCTTTACTTCTTTATATGAGGATTCTTGTCATAATTATTCTGAATGTATATTTGTTTAGGAATCTATTTTTAGAATCCAAAAAATGAGTTTTATATGCGGAGCGTGGAAAATTTTGATTGCTTAGGAGTTTGTGTAATTAAGAGATGCTTGGAAGTCTTGAAGAACTATGTCAATAAATTATAAACTTTGGAAGTTACTGTGGAGTAGTTAGCGTGATCTTAAGTTAACTTACCTTTCTGTGAAATTTTACGACAAATAGTTGGCTCGATATTGTTAATATGCTCGAGACGCTCTTGGAAACTGCAATTTACGGTGCCAAGACTGTATGGATCGAAGGGATCCCCACATCTTGGGTCAAATGCACTGTTACACTCGTAACAAACGACTGCATCTCCTAAAAAATTATTAATTAAAATATTTTTTTTAATATTTAATTAGTTAAAAATTTTTCTAATAAAATTACAAGATAAGAAAAACTAAGGTAAATATTTACAAGTGGAGACTCAATTTAATTTTCTTTTTTTTTAACGAAATTTTTATTTGATTTAATTGATATATTTTTTTTTAAATACATAAAAAAAAGTGAACAATTAAAAAAAAATAATTATCACAATCTTTCAAAAAAATTTATAAATTATTTAGAAAATTGTGATATCTAATTTTTTTTTTTTTATTTAAATTGTTCGTTTTTTTCAAAAAAAAAAAAAAAAAATATATATATCAAAAAAGATAAAATAGAAATTTTATCCAAAAATATGAGAGCCAAAATTTTTCCCAACTTTTGAAGGCAAAAAAGCTTTTTCTTTCAAAACATTTTTTTCATAAATGTGCCGTAATAATAAGCAGAATAAAAAAAAATTGAAATGACTAATTTTTCACCCAATTACGGCCCAAAATGGGTCGGACCTCATTTGTAAATAATTACCAAACTTTTAATTAAATTCTTCAATTATAAAAAAAAATTTCTGAGTAAAAATTTTAAATTTTCAATAGAATAATTTTATTTAAATTAAATATATCGCTTTTTCTCTATTTTAATGTTTATTTATTTATTTATTTGATAACATTATAGCACAAGGCCAATAAAAAGGTTACAAAAAGTTACATACTGCACATTTTAGCTATTTTGTTTTCGTCGTTAATAATTAGAATTATTTTATTATTAAATCTTAGAAGATTTTATAAAATTTAGTTAATTTGCTAATTAGAACGTCGATGTACCATTTAAGATAATAAAGAAACAATTTTTTTAATTAAATATATTAAAGTGCATAATCTTATATATCGATGTTCTAATTAGAAAATTGTCTAATTCGATTTTAAAAAATCTTGCATTTGTACGAAAAAAAAAATTAGTACAAAATTTATTATTACTTTAATATCTAATATTTTGGTTTGGACTATTCAAATTAATAATTAATAATTAGACTATTGCTACATCAAAATGTTAAAAAATTACCTTCTAAAAAATAAGGAGAGACCAATTGCTAATTAGACCGTCGATATTTTTTACTAAAAATACACGATGCGCTAATAAATACTAACTACCTTATATTTGCTAATTTTATTATCAATTTTCAAGTATAAATATTCATAAGAAGAAAATTATTGCGCGATTTATAATGCGAAGCATCAGAGAGTGTTTTACGATGGAAAAATTTTTTTTTCGTAAAAAAAAAATTACACATTATTTATTGACGAGTAAAATAATTTAAGACCCAGTCAATAATCAATAGCAATGAGCAATGAACAGTACTAAATTGAAAAGGCCATATAAATGTAGATAATAAAAAAAAAAAACTAGATACTATTCATTTCCTGGCAATAAATTAATCAATGATGTCCATGAAAATAATGATAATAATTATAAGAGTTTTGGGAATTCGCCGGTACCAAGTCAGCTCGAATTATCTGGAACTAGGGCAAAAATGTATCATGACGTCACTAAGTTTCTATCGACCGGGCACCCCATCCGAATCTTTCTCCCTCACTTCCGTCGAGTATCCATCTATGTATTCTATTGTATGCATATCTCCAGATAAATACATAAACATAACACTACATCCGCGACCCCTGAGTCTCGCCGCTTCCGTGCTCCGTAAATTCTACTCAAGGTTAAGGTCATACCTAATTTGGATCTCTTCTATCAATTTACAAGAGTTTACAATCACTGACCTATTACTGTCGAGTTAATGAACTTTAATTAGCCGAGAAATAAAAAATTTTTTTGCAAATAAAATTATGCTTTTATTTTTATTTAAGTGAAATTTACTAAACAGTAAATTTACGTGGCGTGTCGTACAGTAAGTCCATTTACTTTCCGAGAACAAATGAGATGAAAGAGGTTTTACAAAGACAATATCGTCTTCTGTGATATATATATTTGTATATTTATATATATGGATCGGTAATGTGGATTTGCACATATATTGTGTATTGGAAAAATTAAAACACACATGGCTAGTTAAGCCGTGGAAGTAATACAAGTGCTGACAATGTTTTGTATGACTTCAGTAAAAACTACCGATGCATTATACTGACACCTCCATTTCTGCCCTCATTCTTTAACTATTTATTTTTTCTTTGATTGTTTGTAATGGAAAAATTATTATTTTTTTATTTTTATTGTCAGGATTAATTATTTTTTTTTTTTTTTATTGTAATGAATTGAAAATAAATATAGAACTAAAAAATTTATTGTCATTAATGATCAAATTATTGAAATGTATTTTTTAATAATAATAAAATTTATTTAAAAAATTTTTTTGATTAAATTTTAAAAGACGAATAATTATTTTGATTAAAAATAATTATTAAAATTATTAAAGAATAATTTAAAGTTTGTTATTAAAATTTACAAATAATTATTTTTATTATGGTGCAAAAATTTTTGTAATTTTTAATTCTAAAAAAATTGGAAATTAAATTGATAAAAAGCACAAATAATTTTTAAATAAATTTACAAATAATTATTTTTATTACGGTGCAAAATTTTTATTTAAAAAAAAAATGGAAAATTAAATTGATAAAAAGAACAAATAATTTTTAAATAAATTTACTAATAATTATTTTTATTAAGGTGCAAAATTTTTGTCATTTTTAATTTCAAAAAAATGAAAAATTAAATTGATAAAAAGCACAAATAATTTTCAAATAAATTAACTAAAAAAATTTGGGTCGAGTTTTTGGAAATGATTTTTTATTCATTGATCTTGAGAACTGTTACGACATTGGAACGGTGCCACCTGGGCAATTGTTACATAATCTGCTTTACTTTGAGAGAGAGAAACTCTTAAATAAAATCCACTCAATCAAACGCTAAATGATGAATAATTATTTATAAAAAAACTTACCGTAGGAGATGAATGAAATGAACACGACGATTGACAGCAAAGTTGATACAACTTGACGGCTGATCATAATTTATAAATAAAAAATGCGAAAATGTGCGATAGATTATTTATTATCAATTGATAATTTTGAATTGTCAAAAGTACTTTGAAAACACTTTCACAAATTTCCCCGCAAAATTACAAACGCATCACTGGAAATTAGCGCTGCGCTGATAAAGTTTTCAGTAAAAGATTTTTGGATGGAATAAAAGTAAATTTTTGAAGTTTCCGAGTGATGATTCAAAGGTCCAGGCCATACGGGGGTGGTTTGTCGAGGTACGAGCACGTGGTGCGATGTGGGTCGTGTCGAATCGCGGGCACTTCTGGACACTTGACCGTATCTCCGCTCCGCGGTTTATGCGACAAGACGCGCAGTGCACTTTGACTTTTACATGCGCCAGTCCTATCCTGCGGCCACCCACACTCCGCACTCGCGATCTCAATCTCTCTGTCTGGTGGTTCCAGCCACCCCTGTAGCATCGACTCGGCCATCGCAAATTTGATTATTTTTCCCAGACAATAATACATTTAAATATTTTTATTTGATCAAAAATTTTTATTTACAATTAAAAATTTTTTTTTGTCTTAAAAATTTTGAGTTTAAAATTTTTTGGTTCTGTCTTGAAGATAAATTATAACAAAATTTCATTTTTAATTTATTTATTCAACAATAAAAAAATTACTTTCAATTTTAACAAAATTATTTTGCAATAAATTTTGGTCAATAATTAATTAATTCAAATTTGAATAACTAATTCATTAATTGAAATTTAAAAATTTTCCCGGGCGATTTATTATTCGCTAAACTTCAGAGTGAATGCTGTTGACTCAAATTAAACAAACCAGGTTCGATCCCTAGCGATTGCATTTTTTTTTTTTTTTTTCCAATAAAAATTTTATTAAAAAATTTGTTGATGTATTGTTTTATCCTGGATTGGTATATATATAAAAAAAAAAAATTAGTAAAATCCTTAAAATTAACGACTTATAGCTTAAGCTTAGAAAGCTAGTTTGTATACTACAGTATAAATACATTTAATTTAGAAAAGATTGCTATCAGCTGCGATGGCTAAGAGGGTAAAGACATTGTTCTTGTAAGCTTTGACAACCTGAAGTTAGTAGTAAGATAATACATTCTGCATACCATCTTCATTTCGTCACGATATCTATCAATATCGTCATTTATATTGTTCTATTTTCACAATTAAATATCGATTTTGAGTGATGTTGTCCCGATATCACCTCAATGTCTTCCTGATACCGTCGGAATATCCTAACATTATGGTTTGAAACTGTTGGAAATTGTCTCAACCCTGTCACAACCATAATGTTCCGATACCGTCGAAATATCGTCATGGTTTCGTCAAAATATCTACGGATTAACAATTCATAATTTCAGTAAAAACTAATTTCATTTCATATGTGGATACTGCTTCGCACTAATATGTCGAATACTTTGAAAATTTTATGTATTCAACATATTACTGCACATTAGCGTCCATGTCAAAACAATATAATTTATTTACAGTCACAAACGCTAGAGGGAGTTGAAGTTCCACTTAAAGCTTACAAGACAATGATAAAACTTGAAAATTCCTGGTTCGAATCCAGGCCGCAGTATTTTTTTTCAATTTTATTTCAGTCTTTTTTCAAATTTTTATTATCGCTTGCCTTAAAAATTGGTGAAACTGAAGGAGTGAAAAATTTTGGAGATGATTTAAACAATTTTTCAAATATTTTAATAATATTTACGCTTAATGTCACACAATAAAATTTTTTTTGGAAATGTATATACATACACAGACAGATTTTTAATTAAAACCCGTAATTTTGACTCGTAAAAATAAATATTTCGCTGATTGAAACTTGAATCGGTTCGTAAAAAAATTTACAGTATTTGATATTTATTGTAATATTTACACAGACAGAGAAAAAATTTTTTTTCAAAAATGAACATTTTTGTGATAAGGAATTATAAAAATTAAGTTAGCTGACATCTAAAAATTTTTAGAATTTTTTTTTTTATCAAAAAAATTTGAAAAACTATAAGTGTAATTTTTTAAGTTCTAATTTAATAAATAAAAAAAAAATCGAAAACATCGACTAACTTCAATATCATCAATAAATCAATATCTAGAAAAATTCCAACAATTTTTCTTAGCTTAAAAAATCAAAATTGTTCACAGTAACTTTCTCGTTGAAAAAAAATTTTCATAGATTTCAAATAATCTATTTAAAAATTTTTTTGTTTTCCAAATCTAGAAAATTATTTTCCGACAAAAAAGGTTACTTTGAGAAAAATTTAAATTTCTTCAGTTAAGAAATAAAATTGTTCAAAATTTCCTACAAATTAATTTGTTATCACAAAAATACTCATATATTTAAAAAAAACTTTTTTAAACTTCTTCTCTCACCTCAGTCCTTAAAATTCCTTCCTAACCATCTGTTCTCCATCCATACCTTCCTCCGCAAATCAAGCAAGCTTCTTCTTTACCCCAACTGCCTCAATAACCAGCATCGATCTAAACCATTCCATTCATACCGACAACCACCAGAAAGCTTGCATACCATCCTCCATCCTACCATCCATCCAAAAAAGCGCCTTTTAGCAAAAAGAACCCCAGTTACTCAGCAAGTACTGTGCGATAAATCACATGTAGCTTAGAAGTCCCTCGTAACCCCCAATTAAAAAAGATAAACTATCAGGCGATCTCTCACTCGGTAAAAATCTTAATTATAACCACGAGTGATCTGTCTTAGCCGAACGAAAGCATGACTATTTATCATGAAAATAAATAGCCGCCCTTCCGCTCCTTCCGCAAATCGATCGCCAATTGCGAGTGATTATTATTCAATAGCCATCCGCGTGAGACTAGACCGGGGCCCATAACCTGTAGGCGGCTCAGCCCCTTGATTTCCCCAATAGACATTATCAGGCATAACATTATATTAGAGTAACAACTAAACCCGACCGCCTCTTCCTCGTATCGCATTCACAGCCACCAATCCACTTATATTAGCTCTCTCTTTTCCAGAGACAAGGACAAGGATGAATTGAGGCTTGAGTTTCTCCAGATTTAAAACAAAAGTGAAACTCAATGGGAATGGAACAGGGTGTTCAGTGTTTGCTGGCGCACGCATAGCAGCATAAATCGATCGTCACTCTCCGACTCTGGAGAGAAGCAGTAGCTAACACCCCAAAGGGGTTGTTGTAATCGTTGATCGTACACCACTACGTCAGAGTGGATAGGAGTCGGGTGGTCTAGTATGTAGAATGTACTAGGTGTAGGATGTCGTCTGCCAGTTTCATTGCTGACGGTTACGTCCTTCCACCCCTCAACATTCAACATTCAACATTTAACATTCGCGTTCAACATTATACTATTTGCCACACCAGCTACCGGGCGCAGTTTGTTAGTCATCATCGCCGAGTCGGTATTAAAGTGAGTAAACCTAATAGCAACAGCAGTTTACATCAGCAGTATGCAGTATAACTTAAACTCCTGTATGTGTACTTAATACCGTAGGTACTTTATTTATACTGCATATCCCTTTATCCTTTGTACCGAGAGTAGTTTCACTGAGAGACCGAGGAGAGAAACAAAATACCACTGGATACCTGCATACTCACTCACACGCAAAAAGCTCGCTTCCACCGAAGGATGTTTGCATTAACATTTGATTCGGAGAAAAGGTTGTCGTGTGTATATTGGCTCTTAAATATTTGAACGGACAACCAGCTGTTGTCTTCGCAAGCTCCAACGGCATTAGTCGTTTATTTGCCGCCTAGCTCACTCTCACTCGTTCCGCATCCGGGCTTTCTTTTGTCTTTGTGCGAATGGCAAATTTAAATTGAGGGAGGAATTTTTGTTGAATTGATTTTTTTGGTTGCATTGAGAAGTTTTTTCAAAAAAATTGGGATTATTTTTTTTAATATTGAATATTTAATGCAAAAAAATGATGATTTTTTTTTTAATGATGGTTGTTTTGGATAATATTTTTAGATTTGGAATTTTGAGGTGGAAATTTTCTGGGAAATTAATTTTAGATGAATTTTAGATGAATGGAAGTTTTCATTGAAGAATCAAATTTTGGACTAAAAAAAAAGAATTAATTCATCAGAAATAATTTTGAATTAATTAATTAAAATTGAATTAATTCATCAGAAATTATTTTGAACCCAGAAAATTATTTAAAAATAAATTTGTCTTAAATAAAAGAGAAAAGTTATTGAAAAAAAAATTTTTTTTCTTGGTTTAAATAAATTTTAATTGATTTAAAATTAATTCTTCCCTATTAAAGATAATTAAACTTTTCAAAATGATTTACTAGGTTCAAAATTTTCAATTTTTCATCAAAATAATTTTTTTTTATAATTTTGATTTCTAAAACCAGAAAACCATTGTTTCAACAAAAATTTATCAAAAAACATTATTAAAATAAATTAATTTTTACCAAAAGATATCAAAAATGTCGACCAAATTTCTATAGTCAAGAAATTGAACTTTCTTATCAAATTAATTTTTTTTTTTGTAATTTTAATTTCTATATCCAAAAAAATGTTGTCTCAACAAAAATTTATTGAAATTAATTAATTTTCACCAAAAAAAAAAAAAAAAAAAAATGAAAAATTTCGACCAATTCTTTAACCAAGAAATTGAACTTTTTTTATCAAATTAATTTTTTTTTCATAATTTTAATTTCTATATCCAGAAAAATATTGTCTAAACTAGAATTTATAAAATAAAAACCATTAAAATAAATTAATTTTCCCCCAAAAATTTCAAAAATTCCAACCAAAAAATTAAACTTTCTTCATAAAATTTCCGAATCTCTTCTACAAGATTAGTAATTATAATCTAGTAAGCAGTCCAGGGTGTTAAGAGGGTGAAAGTTATAAAAGAATAACCTTCGCACCGCAATACAAGTCTCCTCGATTATCAGCAATTCTTAAACTCATTTCTTATTCATCATCGGCAAGTGTAGTGATAGCGTAGTACAGCTAAACCGAAGTAGCGAGAGTTAAAG